CTTTTAAGTGTAGTTCAATACCTGTCTTTTTCCTGTCAGTACTGCCATGCAAAGGCAAAACATCGCAACTGCACATTTGAACATTTCAGCATTGAGTTTTGACTGAAATTGGATCTCGTGACAAAATATCGCTGCTCGGTTTGCTATACATATGTGTGGACAGTCAAAAAATGACGATGCCCTATTTTCTTAGATTTAGGGTTAACATAGCTACTATGTTTTGCCTGTGTAGGGCCGAATGGATGATGCATGGCTTTGTGGAGTGGTCTGTTGTTTAAATTTAATTTGCTTACAAATATTAAAGTGCAGTTTTGTATGTGGGTGTGTCATATTTCATTAAAGGTCAAACAGTATAACAACAGACAGACTATGGTTTGTTGAAGCATCTCAGACTTTAATTATGAGAAAAAGTCCACATTGTGTGTTTGCAGTGTTTATTCTCTGCCCATGTCTTGTGGGTTACTGGGGGTACTCCGGTTTCCTCCCCCAGTCTAAAGACATGCAGTTTGGTCAGATGGCATCTTTAAATTGCCCTTAGTGTATGTTCCCAGAGATTGCCCGTAATCCCGGTGAGGGTAATACTCCAGCTCCTGCTTGTGCCCCTTGTTTTACTAAGATCAGTAGGCATTGATGAAAGTTGGTTAAATGAATCAGTAGTATTAATTTAGTATCTGTTTAGATTACATGAAATAGCATTAGATTAGTGTGTTTCTCGGTCACTCTAATATTAAAACCAATATTAAAGTCTTGTCTTATATTTTGATGGAAAATTCATTTCCCCCCCCCCCTTGTCACATACATGTAAAGTACTTAATTATCTTTAAGTTCATTAAGAATATATTTCTGAACCTTGGAAGGGATACAGATCGAGGCGATAAACCAAGCGTCTGTCCAAACCCTGCATTCTCTCCTGGCAGCATGAGAACTTTGCAAATAAATATCAAATAGCAAAATATTGCCGAATTTGTTTCTGCTGTCAGATTTTTAAAATCCAGTTAATTAAAATCAGAAAATCCACCACAGACAGAAATAAAGCAATCACTTTAAATACAGGTAAATGCCAAACTAACAAGGAAGAGTTGCTACGGTTATGTTCGCATGGAAGTCGGAGTGGAAGACAGGGGAAGTGATCGCCCAGCTGCCCTTCTGTTCACCGTGGAGTACGCTAAGGGGGTATCTATTAGCTAGATATTTATTTCTATGCAGTATATTATATATATTGTTTTTATTATGAATTTTCAAATCATCGTTATGTCAAAAACACTAAATTCTGGTAGCGCAGTAGCTGGGCGAATAGCACCACAGGACGGCGGGCGCCATTCCTCCGAAGTATGTCTGTTCTTCCTGCGTCCTGCAGTGCTGGTATCCGCCACAGTCCAAAAATATGACATTAGGTGACTCTCCACTTCTGTGGTGGGGCGTGAGCATAAACAGACACAAGCGAAGGTAGCTTCATGAGGCGTGGCCCCTGGGATGCAAATTTTATTCCACGAAAGAAGGGGAAAGCATGCAGTTGGGAGGAGGGAGAGATAAAAAAAAATTGCGATTTTATCCTGAAAAAAGGGGGAGAGAGAATAACATAAGATCCGGCACAGCACCAATGAACACAGACTGTGAGTCAGACAGTAGAAGCCGGTTTGCCCTAACCGTGTCTAGGGAGCAGTTTTAGAAAAATCGTGCAGCTGGTGCAATCAGTCATCGACAGGCGTGCTGCGTCCGGAGTGGAGCCCCACGGCCGTATGCCGACCGGCTGTCCAGAGCAGTGGTGCAGAAGTTTCGGCAGGTGGCTGCTGTCTGTGGTGCTGCAGTCGCCGCTCGGCCACTCGTCCCACAGGCGCCTGCTATTGTGTCACTTCCCTTAGCTTGAGCGCGTGCTCTGCGACACACTGCTGCTCCAGGCGAACCATGCCCCTGCATTGGAAGGACAGGCTCGATTCGGGGCAAATTATTCACCACCTTCTTCTACGAAAAAGATTCCCAACACCTCCATAGCATTTGTAACCCATGTTGCTTTTTTAAAAATCAAAATGATTTGTATTCTCTAAATTCTTTATTTTTATTCCCTTTTTCACTCCTGTTAGGTCTATTGACCCAATAAATGTGCAGAAGCCTTATTACATGTTTGTACCTCTGAATACATTTTAATTGACTTTAATATTACTTAAAAGTATGTGTGATTAATTGATTAAATGTTCTTTTCTTGATATGTATATTTCTTTTCATATGACTGTTGCAGATGCTTGATTTAATTTCCCCTTTTGAAGGGGATGCATATTGTTTAATTAAGCATGAGGAGAACTGTGATGTTTGAAATGACATGTAATATCTTTCTCATAAAAAGTTCAAAGTGTATTAAGCTGGCTTGTCTGTTAGGTTAGACTTCATGGGAGGTATGAAGCATAAATTGCGCAGTCAGCGTTCCAGTTCAGGAGAGGGATAGGTCTATTTGTATTGGAAATGATAGCCACACTTAATAAGTTTCATATTTCAAGGATAATTGCAATCTGTACCATCTGTCTCCATTACCTTAGAAAATATCTGTTTCAGACAAGTTTAGGTGAACTTGGTAACAGATTTATAATACTGTCTCATTTAGACAATAAAATGGAAGCAAAATATGTTGCTGAGAACTTTCAGCAGTACCATAACTCATAGTCATGCTCTTGTAAACTCTGCGTGTTGTAAATCGTTTGTATTTGTCACACAATCATGCTGAATTATACTTATTTTTCAGTCTGTATTATTGAATTTATTTGGGGTTGAGTGAAATGCCTTCAAATTATGGTTATCCACAGGATAGGATATATTATCATTTACCGAAGTGAAAACAAACAAAGAAAAAGAGAATGTCGAAAAATGCCTGAGGTTCCAGGACTATTAAATTGCAACCTGACAAAATTTCATACTTAAGATCAGCAATTCTTTCCCTACCTGTGCAATTATGCATCTGGTTGGTGATCTTAAACAAGGTGAAGTCATCTGAGTTCTTATCAATTGTCTTATAGCTTGATAACAAATAATGATGCTATTGCAGCTGATTAATTTTCAATGGCTGCTTCTCCAATAACGCCATGATTCCTTCAGGCACTTATACCACATTCCAAAAGTATGCGAAAACTTCAACTGAAATCCAAAAACCATCTAATTAGTTAGCAAAAGACTAAATTGTGGCAGCCACACTACTTGAAGAATTTGCAAAACATTTGCAACAGATGCACTCTTTTAGTGACTGAAATAAAAGGAACAGACTGTTCGATTTAATGAGAATGCAAGATTATAATGACAGTAAAATTTCTTGGCTGCTCTGGGCGTAATATTATTGAACAAAGCTGCACGATGGCCATTTTGGATGATTTGTATGAACGTGAAGTTCTATTTTGTTTTTACTCTCTTTTTATTATTTATTTGCACTCTGTAAATCGATTATTATTATTAAGTAATATGCATTTATGTTTATGGTTAATTTTTGATTCTGTTTATTGGAATATGTAATTTATATTGCCACAGATTTTGTTTCTGTAGGTTTATCTTATTGGCCTCTTGCCAGTCCTATTGTGTCTGTTGTGTGTAACAATTAATTGATGAACTTCACTTTGATTGGGGTTGAAATGTAGACAGTGGCAGTTAGTGGAAATGTATTCAGTTTTTTCAGTTTATGTCTATAATTATGAAATTAACGGCGCTATATTGATTTTATATGCACATCTCTTATGGAATGGGATGGAACTGTTTGTTTAGTAGAATAAATCTGGAGTAGTGCTGAGATTTAGTGTGACGACTCCTTGGCAGTGAAGCATTAGGGGCTTGATTGAGTGCCTTGTTAAAAGACTCATTATCAGAATTTCCCAAATGAGAGTAAATTCCGCAGACCATGGCAGTCCTTATGTAGAAGGACTGGCAGTTGCTAGGGATAGACATAAAATGTTCCGGTAACATAGCCAGTAATAAGTCATTATTATAATTTATTTTAGAAATATTTCATTGATTTTTAATCATTCATTATATTATCTGTCCTAGAAGCATTTAACCATTGCATAATGTTTAACTATATTTATGATTTGCAAGAATCTTAGGCCTGTGTTTTTTAAAAGTTTAATGTTAAAATATTCATTTGTTTTTGTAATATGAATTTAAGCACATTTTAGTCTTCTTACCATTTTCTAATATTTAAAAAAAATTATTGTGTTTTGTTGAATTTCAAAATGTTTTGAAGAATGGCAAATGCACGATCCTGAATATCTCCTGTCCACTGAATATCTGACACATGTTTGACATTTTTAGCACCATCATCAAAAATCTCTTTAAATGTATGATATGCTTTTTTGGACATTATTGGTTTCATTTGAATTGTTTTTGCATTGTCTTTTTTTATTTTGCCATACACAAGGCTTATTAACTATAGCAGCACCTTTAGTCTTCGGTTTTCCTTTGGAATAGTTAAACACATTCTTCTAAGTTTGATTAACATTTATTTGATTATTACAATATTGTAATAAAAAGAGGGTAAATAATAGTGTATTACATGCAGTAGCGGCTTGTGAGTCTTAAATATCTGAGTAATTTATCTACAGTGATACATTGCCAACACGGTTTGTGTGGTGGATAGCACCAGGAAGTTTGATTCCTGGGTTGTGGGTTTCATTTCCGTCTGGCGTTATTATTACAACTACTTGCATTTTTTATTTACTCTGACTTAATTTTGAGCTCTCTGGATACTTAAAATCGATTCATCATATCAATGCTAATGTTTAGCATGCCAGTTTGTCCTTTAGGTGACAGACGTATCTGCTGGTACATCCCAGAGTAATACAGTATTTCCTCATTTACTTGGATGTTATGTCTTTCCCAATAGGAATTTCCATTTGCAGCCTTTCTGCTATATAGCAAGTGCTGCAAAAGTTGTGCAATGAAAAAAAAAAACATAATTCACTGGGGTTAATGATTATAGATAAAAAAAAAAATCTAACTCACTTAATGTTTCTTGTCATTTCCTCTTGCAGGTATTTATGAGCCGACATTTCTTATATTACTGCAGTGAACCAATCCTGGATGTAAAGATTGCCTTTTGTCAGGTGTGTGTTCCTTACAGGTAAAAAAAGGTACAGTATTCATCATTTCCATTTCCTTTTATTCCTAAAAATGTGTCTATGTTCAGAGATAACCGTATTGGTTTTGGTGATGTTAATTAGTGCGTAAAAAGGCATAACCTAATGACGCGTACTGTACTATAAGCATCAACTGAAAATTACACGTAACACGTGATAAAAATAATGAAATGAATGAAGATATTTGTTAATAGATCTTGCAACAACAATATCAATAACAATGAAAATAATAATATTCTTTTGTTTGTGGGCTTACGAAGTGACTAGCACTAGCTTGAGGGTTCTGTGTTAAAATTTAATCTTTTATCTGTGCATGTGGATTGTCCACGTTCTCCCCATATCTCCCACACACACCAAAGACATGCAATTCATTGGTTTCCCATCCAAAGACTACCCTATGCTGCCTCAGACGAGGTCTCATTCTCTCTGCGACCCTCTCCAGGACAGGCAGTTGTAAGGCAGATTTTTCTGTATGGATTTTTTCCATCTTTCAGAAAATAAGGGCTGAAGAAAGAAATACATGCTTTGTCTGATAGAGGTCAAGTACCGTGCGTCCTCTTCTTAGGACCTGGCACACAAGTCACGGCCTATCAAGTCGCGGCCTATCAAATCGCAGCCTATCAAATCGCAGCCTATCAAAGCAGCTTTCATTGGGATGCTGACCGTGGGGAAACCCCCACAGATGGGGCAGTGAGTCCCATTAGATTCATTCTCCGTTTCAGGAAGGCAGCGTCTTCAGCACCATTCAAGCAGCTGAAGCTGGATCCAGTTCTTCCACCAATAAATAGAGCCGCATCCTTGTGTTGCTGCCTGGACAGGGCTCCAGCCAAAGTGGCAATAGCTGCCTTTGTTTCTCAAGCAGAAAATTACTATATTTGCAGCCCATTTCAAAAATACACCATGCTTTTGATTATTTAAGTAAAATGTTAATGCTCTCCATTTGAGTATCATTTTTGCTTATGTGTACATGTAATTCTATACTGCTATGAAATGTTGAAAATAAGCCCTCGAATATCATCAAAGTCTGTACAGAACCAAATACAGGAATGGTATATTTTAATCGAACCACCATACCAAATGTATGACTACAATTGAGTTAATCCCTTTGTTCCTGGTTCGGTGGCCCCTTTAAGATCAAACATTCACTGCAGCTAAACTATTTCTAAAATGGAATGCCTTGTGTTCCTCTTTGAAACTCAGCAAAGATGTTAATAATGAAGGAAGCATAAGCTGTAAGTGACAGACTGGATGACTGATGAACAAAGAAGTTAACAAAGGAAATGCCCACACATGAATTCTGGATGAAATTCTGTATAAATAATGAATACACAGTATACAAGTATTGATGGGCTGACAAAAGTTCTGTGTTGCATATTCTTTTGATGGACAGCTTTATTGTTATGGCTGCCATTCATTTATGCAGACAATTTCAGTAGACTTAAGTCATTAACTATTTTTGGTTCATTTCCGGTAACAGAAAGTTCATTTTCAAAAATTCAAAAAGTAACTTTCTCATTTTTGTTGATTTGTAAGAGACAATGTGTTGGGTGAATCACTGTTGTAAAGAAATATTATTACCATTATTAGATGTCATCGAGTTTATGACTCCTAGCAACTGTATGAAAGGCTTTCCATGAGAAATATCTGAAATCTTCCATCCATATCTTGTTTCTGACTGTTTACTTAATCTTTTTATCTTCAAATTTCTGAACATTACAACCTTTTCCGATAGACTGGATCATTTTCATAATATAGCAAAATAAAACAGCTCAGGCAGTTAATTTGTGGTCCAAGTAAAAGCTCAGACTTGATTTAATCAACTCCCTACGTGTTTGTTTTCCTTGTGGTCCAGTCTTCTCCGGCACCAAAGTTCTAAGGTATCAATATTCGTCCTGACCTGCTCCTTCATTGTCCACCTTTCTTTGACTTTGGCATTCCAGTCTCTAGTCACCAGGAATATATCTTGTTTGCACTTTGCTTGCTTGCATTTCTGTCAACATAAAATGGGTCATAAAACTCATCAGTTTCCTCTTTTTCCATATAGGTTTTTGTGACATGAATCCGTATAACTGTCATATTGAAGGGGTGTCCACAAAATCGAACTGATATTGTTGGGTCATGCACAACATTGGACTAGTTTCAGTCTTTCCGTTGTTCTCCTGACTTTGAAAGCTATACCAACTTCATGCTTTTCATAGGTGACCTTGGTGGCAGTAGTTTCCACTCAGTATTATAATAGATTACAAAACTTAGACACTTAGGCCAATATTATAGCCTATTAAATGTTCATCACTGTCATTATTCCTGATTACTTGGCACCTGTGAATCATTACCCGAGGGATGTCCTTCTGTTGCCTACATAGGTTTTTCTGCCATAACATGTTGACTAATGATATTACTCTGGTATATTCTGGATTTCATTTGTACATTGTAATATTATAACATTATTATGTTGTTAGGCAATGGTCTCAGGATTATTTAACAATGTCGACCAATTGATTATATTTGTAATATGTAAAATGTAATATTTTACATTTTTCCTCTGCTTCCCCAGGGATTTGGAAAACAAGTGGATGTGTCATACATCGCCAAGCATTACAATATGAGCAAAAGCAAAGTGGACAACCAGTTCTACAGTGTCGAAGTTGGAGATTCTACCTTCACAGTTCTCAAACGGTACCAGAATCTAAAGCCTATAGGTTCTGGAGCTCAGGGAATCGTCTGGTGAGTATCCAGCCTTCTTCTGACTGATTATCCTGGTTATGGTTGGACGAGTGCTGGAGTCTACTCCAGGCAGCATAAGCGCACTGTGCACCTCTGGAGTGGATGTCAGTCCATCACAGGACACATCCTATAGGCAAATTCAAGTCATCAGTGAGCCAAACTGGAGTGTGCACAAAATTCACAGGCGATGCAGGAAGAAATCATGCAAACTTCTCACACACAGAGCAGAGGCAGGATTTGGTAGAAATTGAATAATAGATTGAAATCTTTTTGTTTATTTTGGGTTGCATACCGAGTAGCCAATTTATTAGGCATGATTAACTAATACTGGTTTGGGACATGCTTCTGGCTCCAGAACACCTTGAAATCTTTCAGGCATGGATTCATTTTAGAGGCATATTATTATGTATATTATGTGGGCAGTGTCATGCTGAGATGTTTTTTGTACTTTCTGGCTTCTTGCTAGCTTTAATGAGTCTGGCCATTCTCCCCTGACCTCTTTCATTAACATTGTGTTTTTGGCAACAAAACTGTCACTGACTGGATGTTTTTTGTTTCGTAATGGCATTTTCCATAGACTCTCCATATTTTAGTCCATGAAAATCCAAGACGTGTTTCTGAAATGCTTCCACAAATATTATCAACAATCATTATGCTTCTTGCCCATTTTAATTCTTGGTCAAACCTCTTGTCTGGATAAGTTTTCTGTTTAGCTGTAACCACATGATTTTCTCTTTGGAGGAACTGGCTGTTTGCATTAATAATCAGGATACGGGATGTATAATATTAGTATCCATAGAAATCTTGTGTTTTTATTGTTGAAAGAAACAATGACTATTTATTTTTCAATGGGTAAAACAGATTACCTGCATTATTTCCTCTGAAATTGATTTTGGAGAATGAATAAGTTTATGTAATATTTTTGTAGTTGACGTTCTTCACTGAGATATTATAATAGCAGTGCTGAGACACCACAATCCTGCTGACTTTGAGTGTTGTCGATTGTAAAGGGATGGATATATAGGATTGGTTTATATTCTGACATCAAAGAAAAGAGACCTGACAGAGTATGCAAGCTCTTGTTTATATTCCTCATATTACATGTCAGCAAGATGTTAGAACTCATTCAGGACTGATTGGACATCCACATAGAAATACATAGAATCTACATAGAAATCTACACACAAAATATTTGCTGGTATCAGGAAAGAAAGAGGAGCAAGAGATGGCATTGCTGATGCATGATGGGTAATCGAAAAAACAAGGAATACCAGAAGGTGAACTTGGGGTTTACTGACTACAGTAGTGACTACATGATTGTGATGACCATGTTAAACTATGGAATGTTCTTAGAAAAATGGGTCTCCTAGAGCATCTGATTGCTTTGAAGGAGAATTCTTACTCTGGACAAGAAGCCATGTTCTGGATGGAGAAACTTTTTCTAGATCAGCAAGGGAGACAGACAAGGATACACACCTATACAACACCATACGTCTAAACCTTAAAGTAGAATACGAGGAAGATCTGAATATGCTTATGATAAAGTAATGGAAGTTATGTAAAAAATAAAAATGTGAAGAACGCAGACAATATAACCACAGGAATGGCAGGTAACCTTCGTGTGGGTGGTGAAGACATCGAAGCCACAGACAGCTTTTATCTCCTAGTAACAATCATCAGCAACAAAGGATCCAGCAGTCAAGACGTTGGAAACCAGCACTTGGAAAAACTGCAATCAGACTACTGGCTTGGCTAAGATCAAAGATTGCAATTGTACCAAGATCTGGGCAAAAGCTTGAAAATTAAGAATCAGGGCAGAAGTGTTTTGATGGGTTTGAAGTAGGAACTGATGAAGTGGTCATGTTTTGGTTATATAATGAGATGGACCACTGCATTGGAAAGAGATACGTTTTCTCATAAGAAAAAAATCACAAATATTAGTCAGAGTAATACTGTAAGTCCTCAGTTCTGGCTTTGATTCTGTACCTGATTTTGTGTCTGTCTGTGGATTTTGTATATTCTCCTTTTTTTCCATTGGTCCGCATCCTCTGGTTTCCTTCCATAATCCAAAGACAGTTTAGGTGAACTGGTGTTGAGGGGGGATTGCGATTGATATGTGTCTATGTGGACCCCACAATAAACAGTTACCCCCCCCCCCCCCACAGATATACTTCTGCGTTCTGGGACAGGGTCTAGTGACTCTAGTCTTACCATAGCCTGCATAAGTGGTCCTGGAAAAATGACTGATCAAATGACTGAACAAATGACTGAAACGATGGATCAAATGGCAAAAATAGAGCAGAAATGTTACTCTTTTTCTCGGAAAGGCTTTTTCTGTAAAAGCTAGAAACGTGCCTTTTAGATTGCATTAACGTGATTAGAGCTATGAAAGTATTTTTGGAGCAATTTAGATTTTATCTCATCCAAAAGTAACTGGAAACAAGTAAATACATGAAATTATTATGGCTGATTAAATGGAGCCTAAGCCACATTAAAACTGAAAACGCTGGTCTCCAAAAAGAAATCTCCCATAAAAATACGGAATGCAGTTCAGTTTATATTAACGTTAGAATATAGAAAATAGGATCAAAGCAGAAAGTAACAACAGACCTCTCATTTATCCTCTCACACTCTGTACTCCTTTAGGTTTAGACATTTAAACTGTCCTGCATTGTTTGCTTTATTGTCCATGGGGCGAAAATACTTCATCATCCATTTGTTGTACCCAGTTGTCCTATTCAGGATTGCAGGGATCTGGAGTCAGTCCTGGAAGCTACAGGCACAAGGCAGGGAATAACCCAGGACTGGGCGCCAACCAATCACAGGGCACACACACCAGTCATGCACACAGTCACACCTATGGACAGTTTGGTAACCCCAGTTCACCTTAGCATGTTTTTGGACTCCAAACCAGTGTACCCAGTGGAAACCCCACAAGGACAGGCTTTCAGTAATTTCAGTCTTGATTTTGTTTGGGACTTCTGTTTGATTCATTCTTTTCATATTTGAATATTAATATTTTTATAAACAAGAAACGAGTTAGATTAACTTTCAGTCTCACATGTAATCTACCAACTGTATGTGTGCTGCTACACTGATTATTATCACTGCTTATCCATCGAAGGAACTGTCTATTTACACACGTGTTTTGAGTCTAGTCCCTCCTGTCTTGCTCTGTCCTCTGTTTGATCACTTTTTAAACTATTGTGAATCCCTCCTTTTGTCATTTACTGTCTGCATGTCACACCATTGCCATGGGGAAACATTATCATACCACTGTATACTTGTATGTGGATGGTGTGACAGTAAAGCCCACTTAACTTGGCGTTTCTACTCAAACCAGCTCTAGGTGTTGAACAATCTCTCAGTGTCCTGTGTCATCCTGTAGTGCAACTTAAATATCTCTGATTCCAGATCTGATACAAAATGGATTCATTAGGATTAGACTATGCCATATGTTGAATTTTCATCAAAAAATATTAATAGAACCTCTGCACAATAACAGTAGCTATGCAATGTAGTGCTGTTTTTGTTTTGTTGTTACAGAAGTTGCAATGAAATGGCTACTTGCAGTTTTGAAACCACATATTGCTCACTGTATGGTTATTCAGAATCCTCAAAATGTTATCAATGTCAATGCTGGATTTTATTTAGAATCAGAATCAGAAGACTTTATTAATCCCGGAGGACTTACTGGTTACCGTTACTGGTGTGATTTTCTTGCAATTGGTTATTTTATTGGCTATTACAACAAAAGTGTGAGACGCTTATGGTGTCAGTTGCAATCCTTGACTGGAAATAACGAAAATACCAAACTGGCTCTGAATGTCATTTTGAAATTAACACAGTTTTGTGAATGAAAATTATTTTACATTTTGCTCTGATTTATGTTTTAAACCAAGCTAATTTGATTAATGAATGTAATAAAATTTAATTGCATTTTTGAAGATGAATCACTTGTTCTTTTATGTACAATTTCAGTAGAAAATGTGGAATCAGAATGACTTGATGAGTCTTTTAATTTGCTGCCTGTTTGCAGGCCTGCAGGGGAGGGATATTAAGAATTTCTAGCTGTGTTAATTCCCTTGGAGCCGTTTTGACGGCGCCCATGTCATGAAGGCTGAAATCAGTTTTCTGTGCTGAGGTTTTTTAACCCTATTTTTGTGCTCTGCATGCATTCACTCTGCAGTGCTGGGTACGATGCTGTCCTTGACAGAAATGTGGCCATTAAGAAACTCAGCCGACCGTTTCAGAACCAGACCCACGCCAAGCGGGCGTACAGGGAGCTGGTGCTGATGAAGTGTGTCAACCACAAAAACGTGAGTATCCTGTTCTGTAACATAGTGTTTCCCGGTCCAGTCCTCGGGGACCTGCAGACAGTCCATGTTTTTGCTCTCTCCCAGCTCCCAGTAGGGAGTGAAGATGAGGACTGTCTGGCACGGAGCTGGGAGGGAGCAAAAACATGGACCGTCTATGGGTCCCCAAGGACTGGGTTGGGAAACACTGCAATAAGATATGAGTGGGAGCACTTCACAGTGCTAAATAACCAAAGCATATAAGACAATTTAACAGTGAAAGAGTCACAGGCAATAGTACATAAAATGATTTTGAATTTGAATGTCCTACATGACAAAATGTCAGCCCTATCTTTATAATATCCTATTACACAGTGATAAATTAATTATACATTATATCTGATTATGATAATACCAATTAGCATATGGCTAACATGGTTTTGTTTTAGTGGTCAGTGGAGGCAGTGACTTGTGGTATAGACATTCATTTGGTTTATTACTGCATAGCAATGCAGAGGATTTAAATGGTGAATTTAAATTAAAAACGGTAATGCGGTGGATGTAAGGGGTGGCCGGGGGGGTGGGGGGTGGGGGGGATAGGCATTGTCAACCCCAGTAAATATGTGGCCACCTCTGTGGCCCCCCTCACCAAAATAATAATAATAAAATATTCAAAATAAATAACTGTCCACTGATGGCCACCCCAATATATCTGCTGATGCCACTAAGGAGTAATTATTATTATTATTATTGTTTAATAATTAAATAATAATACAATAAGTCTTAGGAATGACACCACATAGATGATGAAGCTCTCTGAGGATGCGATGGGGCAGAATTGCAGTGCTTCTACAGATCTTAATCCTTCTAGTGCTGCAGCTCTCCTACCTAAGGCTCTCTCTCTCTCTCTCTCTCTCTCTCTCTCTCACTGCCAGCAGTGTCCTTGAGCTGGGTCATTCCTTTCTGAGTGCCAGAGTCCCTCTCTTCTATTCCACTCACATTGCGCGCCCATTCTGTCGCTTGCTGGGGAGCGTGTCGCTGCGTCAATGCGTGTACTAACCCGACAGGGAACTTGCCGAATGATTAGTTTTTAGTTTCCTTTCACTGCCTGTAGTGTTGGCTCTGTGGTTTCATGTTGGCACGAAGGCGAATGATTTGCTGCATCTATTCTGTGTATTTACAACCACAGCAGGTGACTCTTTTGTATGTTATTATATTTAGAATGAACATACGCAAATTTTATTTACTACACTTGTTAAGGGTACAGCCTTAAGGGTGGCCAGTGACTGGAAATGGCTGTTTTTCGCCCGGATTGACACTGACTGCCAATTGGCCAATCAGTCTAAATATGGTCAATTTTATGAGGAGATCAAGTAGTTTATCAGCTAATGTTACTTTTTGTCCCAAGTCATTTTAGTTTCCATCCACAATCATGTCTCCCTCCCCTCCCCTTCCATCCCCTTACTAATGTTGTATGATAGGTGAGGTGAAACATTATTGGGAAACATGTCTGTTGCTTGGAGATGCTTTACAGCGTCTCACAGTGTGTAACACATGAGGAAAATGTTATCCATGGATGAACTACCCTAAAAACATTTGAAATGACTGACTTAATTTGACACATGCAGAGCCATTTTTATTTGAAGGTTATTTAAAATATTTCTCAATAAAGAAGCGTTAAAAAATGTTTAGTCTGCTGATTATTATTAAACCAGGAAAATCGTAATCGGCCAGGATTGCTGTTGACTTTAAAACATCACTAATCGCGATCGGCCAAAGGAAATGCAGTCATGCATCCCTAATAGTTGTTGTCTTTTGTGAATATGATTGCTACTGGATAAAGGATATTTAAGTTAACATTACACATTATTCCGTAATGGCCTTATATTTCTTCTTACTTTTCATTAACATATAAATAAGTGCTATAGAATTTGTAAGGTTGTATTAAAAACAGTGCAGTATTTTGGTTGACATATACAAGCTATACATGCTATGCAAGTTAATTTAAAACTACAGTAAATATGCACCATTTAAAACAAAATTAAAATTAAGATAAACTTTATTGATCGTTGGGGAAATTGCTTTGGCATAATAATGTGCATTTGCTACTTTCCAGTGTGTCTATCTGACAGGTCTCAGAATTTAAAATGTTGAAAATCCATCCATCTTCTGAAACCGCTTGTCCTGCGCAGGGTTACGGGGGGGGGGGGGCACAAAGCAGGGAACAGCCCAGGATGGAGCGCCAGCCCATTGCAGGGCATACTCACACACCATTCACACACACAGGCACACCTAAGGGCAATTTGGTAACTCCAATTAACCTTTTGGACTGTGGGGGGCAACCAAGGTGCCCAGAGGAAACCCCACAGTGACACGGGGAGGACAAAAGAGCAAAACTAAATTCACCTTGTAAGTTCACATATTAGTGCTAGATTAGCTACTTGTTTGGATGTCAAGTAATGTGTCGAAAATGTGGAAGAGTGGTGAGAAGTTACATATGATTTCATTTCTGAAATGTAAAAAATTCAGTTGATTTCCTCTGTAAAATTAGCGACACCTGAAGGTGATGAAGTCCATTTGCTTTTTATTGTTATTAATTTTTTACTTTTTATTATGTGCAACTATAACTCTGTTTCGCTTGTTTCTTTTTCAGATTATCAGCTTATTAAATGTTTTTACACCACAGAAGTCTTTAGAGGAATTCCAGGATGTGTAAGTACAATATTATTTATTAATCATTCATATACACCTCCACTTCTTTCTCTGTATATTTGCTATACAGGGGTGGACAAAGTAACAGGAACACCATGTGAAAAAAACTTTAATTTTGATGTAACTAAATCACAATTAAGGTATGAAGGTGAGCAGTGTATGTCAGTTATGTGACAGCGTTCTTGCAGTCAGAACTCTGATATGTGACTTTTCAAAGGAGCACGAGACAACAACACAGCTGAAAACAGGCCAAACAGCTAGTGTCGGAACTGCAGCTGAAAACAGGCCAAACAGCCAGTGCCTGAATTGCAGCTCAAAACAGGCCAAACAGCCAGTGCCTGACCTGCAGCTGAAAACAGGCCAAACAGCCAGTGCCTGAACTGCAGCCGAAAACAGGCCAAACAGCCAGTGCCTAACCTGCAGCTGAAAACAGGCCAAACAGCCAATGCCTGACCTGCAGCTGAAAACAGGCCAAACAGCCAGTGCCTGAACTGCAGCTGAAAACAGGCCAAACAGCCAGTGCCTGAACTGCAGCTCAAAACAGCCAAACAGCCAGTGCCTGAACTGCAGCGCAAAACAGGCCAAACAGCCAGTGCCTGAATTGCAGCTCAAAACAAGCCAAACAGCCAGTGCCTGACCTGCAGCTGAAAACAGGCCAAACAGCCAGTGCTTGAACTGCAGCTCAAAACAGCCAAACAGCCAGTGCCTGAACTGCAGCGCAAAACAGGCCAAACAGCCAGTGCCTGAACTGCAGGTGCAGCGTCTGCAAAATCCACTAAATTATTTACTAGGTAAAGGGCCCAGTCCATTTTGCAAAAAATACGTTTCAGTCTAGTCCTTTTGTTACTTTAGTTGAGCCCAATTGTAATTTCTTGCTTCTGTGCAACCACTCCATACCCATTTGTGTGGAGGTGCGTGCAGCTGTGCATTTTCTCATAGATCTTTTGACACCTGCACTGTCCTTTTGACCCTGAGCCTGCTGTTCACTGCATGTCTTTGGAGCAGCAGACTGTTTCACATCCACATGAGACATTGTTGAGTTTGAAAAATGCATTAGACTTGCAGGTCTGTTCAAAGGCACTTCAGTGCTTCATTTTTTCTTTCATATTAAGAATTTCTTTCATCTATTGAGGAAATCAGAGTCTCTGCCTGTGACTCTCCACCTCCCTAAGCAATTACATGACATTTGATGACTTCTTTACTAATAAAGATATGAATATCAAAGCAAATGCGCAATTAAAACTAATTATCCAATACATTTTTAATTTAACTTTTCTGCCCTACTCTGCATCAGCACCGACATGTGTGCTACTCTTAGAGCTTGCCTCGACGTGACTACATGTGACTATTAAGGAGAACTAAGCTTGTTAGGTCAGTCGAACACATAATGGGACATGCACTTCCCAACATCCAGAATGTTTACATCAGAAGATGCAGGTCCAGGGCCACTAATAATTAAGAATCCAAGCCATCCCAGCAATGGTCTCCTCTCTGTGCTGAGGTCAGGGAAACGGTGCTGCTGACTGAAGGTCAGCACAGAGAGGCTGAGGAAGAGCGTCTTTCCCCAGACAATAGGAATCCTTAATGAGCACAGTGTTCTGGACCGGCACACCAGCGCTCCAGCCTACTCAGCTTACACATTCACACTCTATATACAGTATGTAGATGCATATTCTGTCTTGCACTGCCTGCCACTGTACTGCCATCTGCACTATGGATATTTATGGTTACTGTTATCAAGGATATGCATTTCAGGCAGAATTACTAGTTATTATTCAAATAATATTCAATCTACCTTGTCCCCACCACACACACACACACACACACACACACACACAGGTTTGTAATTATATCTTTGTGGGGACTCTCCATTCATTTCTCATTGATTTCTTATCTAATCCCAACATGACGACCTTAAACCCCTACCCAGCCCTAACCTTAACCATACTGTAAGTACCTGAACTAAATACTGTATGAGACTTTTGGCATCTTTGTTGGGACCTGAAAAATGGTCCTACACCATCAAAATAACAGGTTTTTATTACATTGTGGGCAACATTTGGTCCCCACAATGTAATTACTATAAACATAATCCACACACACACACACACACACACACAGATGTGTGTATGGAGTATACATTAAAATATTTATGAGATGTTACTTGTTGTGCAAACAAATCTCTTGCTTTTACTCTTCATGGTCCCTAAGAAATCCAAAAGACTAATGTCAGCAGGTTTTCAGTTCTTGTTTGCTTGTTCACCTCAAATGATATTTAAATAGCTCATTTATTATTCAATTTTAATAGTTTTTTCAATTTTATGTTTGTTCTGGAATATTCAACAATGCTAACTCATCCCTAATTGTTACATTTAGTGTGTAATTTCTAATTTCATGTCTCTTTGTCTGTCCCCTACACAGATGAATAGTTGAGGTCCAAAAAATTAAAATCCAGACCAATATTTTGTTTAAAACAACCAGTCGAGTACTCTGCGGCTCTTTATACCCAGTTGGTTGATGGAAACAAAATCTTGGTCTCAATTTTTACTTTCTGTACCAAACTCTCCTCCTGTTGTCCCCTATATACTTATACATACCTGTATGTACCCTGTTCCCCGTCTCCAGCTAGCCAATAACGCATTTCACTGTCCTCTGAGTATAACTGTGTATGTAACAAATAAAATTTGACACTTTGAAAATAGTTTAAAACAAAAAGTTTTGGGTTTAATAAAGTCTAAATCCAAATCCAAATTTTGTATCATTCAGATTACTTTCTGACGAAATTCCCAAGCTAATTTAATTTGAACCCTTTATCTTAGATTAATAGTAAATCAGAGGGAAATGAAGTCTAGCTATCTGGTAAATGATGATTTTTGGCTAATCAACCCCTGAACTGTGTAAATGTTTAAGGAAATGGAAAAATTGGGTGTGGTCAAACCATTTTTCATGTTACATTTGTTGGAAGTAATGTACATAAAATGTTGTGTGATTTGTTAGATATTAGAAATAAAGCTTTATTTACTTTGACTAAGTGATGATTAAATCAAGCTATGGGGCCCATTTCTGTAGAAATTCAGATAATTATGATGGGTTTAGAAATATTTCCTCTAAACTGTAAATCAATGTAGCTTCAGACGTACAAGGTGGGAAGGTGGAGTTTTGCCTTTGACCCTGTGTACAGGGGGTCTGAGTTCGAAAACATGCAGTTTGGTGACTCTACGTTACCTATTGTGTTTGCGTGGTCTGCAATGGACTGGCATCTCATCCAGGGTCTCCCCTGACTCAAAGCCTACCTTTTCTCGGTCTTTCTCGGTTCCAGGCTTGAAAGACTTGAAAGTATGTCATGTAACAGAGCATTAGCATGCAGGTGAATTTAATGGACTGCCCCCTTGTGCTTCCTGGACAGGGCTAAGGTCCACCACGACCCTGCACTGGGTAAATGGTTCTTGAACATGAATGAATTACATTAGATTGTCATTAAAGCCAACGGAAATTAAACAGTTCTTAGAATCATTAGTAGAAGCTGTGCTGTTTATTTTTATCTGAATAGTTGATGTTCTCAACTGCAGTGAAGAGATTGGTTATGCAAATTTATGGGGCTTTTTGCCTCTTAGTTTATTAGGAAAGGTTGACTAGTTGATTGGAGGTTGACTGATTAACGGTGTAATTTGTAGACTGGCAGCCAAAGATCTGTGATGATGGCGTTGCTGATCCCTCTGTAGCTTAGCATTGCAAAACACTGGTAGAATTAAACGTGAGCTACTTTGAAAACATGGGATGTCTTTCTCAGGTATTTGGTCATGGAACTAATGGATGCCAACCTGTGCCAGGTGATTCAAATGGAGCTGGACCACGAACGAATGTCATACTTACTCTACCAGATGCTGTGTGGCATCAAACATCTGCATTCCGCTGGGATCATTCACAGGGTGAGAACGATCAGTAAGACCAGTTCTAGCTGTTTGGGCTTTCAGAAGCAGGTTGTATTTCATAAACAAAAGCATGTCGCTGTCCACTAGAGGCCAAAATTCATCCAATTTTTAGAGATTACAGAACTTTATTCAACTGTTGCTCCTGTTAGTTATTTAATTGTCCAATGTATGATATTTGTAACATCCTTCGATTGTTTATAAACATTACCACAAGTATTTGTGTAGTAATTTTTAAAGCGTGATGCCAAAAATGCTAGGTGTTTCTACAATTCTGGCCACTAGTGTGTTTGTATTTGAATTTGCCTTTGTATGAGTATTACTGCATGTGACAAAAAAAAAAACTTGAACTTTGAAAACATAAACGGAAGCACAAATAGCTTGATATATGTGTAACGTAATATTGCATCATGTTATTTACTAATTACTATTAGTATAATATTAAATTAGTTCATTAATTATTTACTACTATGAGTAAATATTATCAATAAAATTTTGCTTTGTCAGAAGCAAGAGTTTCTTGATGATCTTGCACCTCTTGACATTTGTTCCATCTGCAGGACCTGAAACCCAGCAATATAGTGGTTAAATCGGACTGCACGCTTAAGATCTTAGATTTTGGCCTGGCACGAACCGCAGGAACCAGCTTCATGATGACCCCCTACGTCGTGACACGATACTACAGGGCTCCAGAGGTCATCCTGGGCATGGGCTACAAAGAGAACGGTATGACTGGACCTTTGTAGTTTATGTACTTGAATTTATCGTTGAACACAACTTCAGTGTACATACAATGTGGGAATGTAAGTATAGTGATTACGCAGTTATGAGGATAAGTTTGATACACATACATTAGTACGCACTTATATTCTCTGTGAGTTTCAGTGTCTAGTCGAGGCAGTACAGTAAATTTATTTCAAATAAAAATGTAGTCTACTGAAATAGTATAGCTAATACTTCCTGAAATTCATCACTGATTGTACATCATGTAACTATATACTAATCTCTGTCTGCTATTATTCCAAAAGTTTACATTATTACACTAGAAATTAGTGCATAAGGGAGGGTGTGGACTTTATGTCAAACCTAAATGCACCTTCAAGCACTGCATGAGTGTGTGCAAGAATAATGGTGACTAACGTTTCCTTTTTCAGAATAACACTCTGCATTCACTCTTATATTTCTGTCAGCAGTGTGTCATTTATGCTAATCTCTTTCCCTTTCCACTCTTTCCTTGTGCTGACAGTGGATATATGGTCTGTTGGGTGCATTATGGGAGAAATGGTTCGCCACAAAATCCTGTTTCCAGGAAGGGACTGTATCCTTGCTTGAGTGTTTGCAATTTATTTAAAAAACAAATAAAAGAGCAACAGCTAAGGCACAGGTGTGTGAGTCCAATTTGGCTATTATTAGTGAATATTGTCCTTTAAATTGAAATGTCATACTGTTTGATCATTGCTAATTCTAGTGCCAACAAAGAAATAATGGGTTGGATGGGAAAGTATATATATGTTTTTCATGAAATTCTTCTTTACAGTAGTTGTAACTAAATTTGTAGCAAATGTCCACATGCATTGAATGATATAAGGCAGAATCTGCGACTGTAACCTAAAGTACCATCATAGCGCCACGTGGAATGCGTATGAGGGCTGTTTCAAACAGGCGAAAGACAGGCGATATTGATCAGTCAATAATCTTTATGGTTGACCCGGCTATGCTGAATGTGAGAGAGTATGAAGGATTTCTTCTTGTTAAGAACTTTCTGCATGGTTCTTCATTTCGACACTTTTAATAATTATTTCTTTGTGGCAGCAGTACCATTTCTTTCTATATTCTGATCTCTGTCGTACATTTTAACGTTATAATGTCCAAACCTGGAACTGGAGGCCCATTATATCATTACAGCTAGGCATAGAGCGGAGGGCACATCATATCAATTAACTGACTATATTTTCAGCGTGTATGTTATTGCGTATTTTTCACAGTACTGAAGTCCTCCAAGACCACAAATGGACTAACCTAATTTGATAACAAATGACAGCCCCTGTCCTATTAGTAGTAGCTTATCATGCCTTTGAAGCTTCCTCATCGCTTCCATGTTACTCTAACTGTCATTCCTGTTTTGGTTTCTAGGCCGAAGTGCCACATGTTTCGATTCAGCCTTGATATGATGTAGCTCATTATATTTCAGCGACCTTGACCGAGGTCACCCTAAGTTGTTAAAAGCTTTAAGAAATGCTGTCACAGTGATGGAAAACTCATACCAGGCGTGCGATTCACTCTAAGGCTGAAATACTTTGCCTGATGGAGAAATTCAAACTCATAATAGTCAGCTTAGAGGAATTGCTTTTTGCGGAAATGACATTGCAAATGTGGAACAATGCTTCAGTGCTATGCTTCTCTCAAATACAGTCTTTTAATGTTTTTTTTCCTTTGGTATGTCTCTATTGTCTGTGTCTGTGTGTCATGTCTGTGGTGATATGAAACAATGAGTTGTAAGGGTACTTTCTTTAAACTACCATATTTGCTTTTAAGAATTATATACAAAATGCATCACCTGAAATAGTTATAATTACAGCTAGGCAATGGATTTATTTCACTTTCATCTTTTTGGGTTACTGTGCTTCTGAGAGTATTTTGAGTTGAGGAATAGTCTCCAGAATGATCATTTAAGAACCACTGACAATATTCAGAGTGAAACACAGGAGGCTCAAGTGATGTGTAACTGAGCTTATATGAAATACAATCATTAATGCAATATCAACAATGTTATCGTATTGGCTATGATATTATTTAAAACAGTATATTGTAAAAAAAGGAATTGTTCCTAAATGTCTCAGTTTAACCTTCGTAAAATTCATATTTATTTATTCATACACAAACTCTTTCATTGTTATGCATGATAGGGAAATTATATACAGGTGTTTCAAAGGACAATTTATTGAGGGGCAATGGAAACAGAAAGAAATATTAACAAAATGTTCAAGAAATTTTAAGATCATTACAAAACTGAAAGTAATGCTTGTATGTCCACCATGGAAATGAAGAACCTTTTCACTCCTGATTTGGAACATAGAAAAAAAATGAGATGCACAGACATGGCCTGACAGAATAAAGCAAATTCTTTACCCAAATCCACTTCCCTAGCAGCTAATATTTAACATTTTGTAGCTGTCAGTGCCAATGAATTATTTTCTTACTTTTTCCCTCAGCAGTCTGTCTCTCAGACAGTGGTGCTTATAACATCCCCTGTAATGTAAATGAAGTTAGCAGAAAGTGACACACAGCACTGCGTGTTTGCCGCATGCAGTGAAGGCTTACAGTGATTTTCACTTCCTTCCCCTCACGGTGTGTGGTTTTGGTTGCAGTGGACATGTGGTCAGTGGGCTGTATATTTGGCGAGGTGATAAGAGGAACGGTGCTCTTTCCCGGAACTGATCGTATCCTTACTGCACTGTCGCAGCTATCACACCTAGCTGGCTCCTTTAATAACCTTTAATTTCCAATATGGCAGTAGGGGCTGGTTTTCCAGGCAGCAGAACGGTTCTCACTTTCATTTTCAGATTAATTTTATTCCGCAGTGGGTGCAAATGAATCTGTAGATGAATGCTCTCATACTCCTCAGCATAAATTTCAAAATGATCACATATTAGTAATATAACACAAAATATTGTGTCAGGGGTTATGAAATGTAGTTTTCTAAGTTTAATATGGATACTTGTACCCCACTGTACTGTTTTGACAGTAGGTTTGTTAAGTACTCAGGTGGGGTATCTTATCATTTCAAACAACCCAGTGCTTGAAATGCAAATCATTAATAGTGTCTAGAAGGGTAGACAGAGCATGGATCTTGTTTCAAATAGAGAGGAATGAAGTGTAAACTTGATGGATGAGTATTACGTGTAAAACTCAACAGAGAATCGCTTTCCCATATCTCATTTGACAGGTTAGAGGATTACATTTACATATCTTAAACCGATATACTCCACACATAATATTCATAAGCATCTTGTAAATATACTTTAACATCTTAACATACCTTAACAGCTTTAATTGACATTAAAAACAAACATTATATGATTATACAATTATAATGTTTGGTATTTAAGTATATTAAAGCTGCTAAGGTATATTAGGATGTTGAGGTATATTTACATGCTGCTTATGAATGTTCTATGAATGCATTACGAAGGTGCAGTCATTGTAAAGTGTAACCTTTTATTCTTACTTGACATTTACGTGGGCTAGAATCCATACATTTTCACCATGGCTTGTAAAATGGTGCAGTAAAAAACAACACTGCCATCTCCTCCTTGTTGAAAATCTTATTTTCCATTATCCAGGTGCTTGTGACTGCCTTTATGCTACAGGTTGGATTATTCAATTATTCCAGAAGTATGAATGACAGAGAGTAATTTTAGCGAGGATGTGCTGCGCCCATGTCACACTCTAGCACCAATTTTTTGACTGCAATTGTTGTGAAGTTTTGTTTTCCACCGTCAGTCCCCTTAAGAATGGCTGGTATGTTTGCATGGCCCCTCTCTAGTGTTGATCTGGCTCTGCACAGAGCTTCCCCCCATCTCCTAGTCTGCAGTGAGTCTGCCGCTGTTTCACACTGCCGTTTGCTGCCAGGTGCTAAACGGGTGCCCCAGCCTCAGGATGCTCACCTGTGATCTGCCCCCCGCAGGCAAATCGGGGCATGTACACCTGCAGTACTAAAATGAGGATTACCTAAGGCAATGTCTTTTTGTTAGTTTTACAATAATGCTATGCATTTTGCACACAATGAACTATTATTAATATTGAATCGAGGGCATTTCATTTAACACTGGTAGGGACCATATCAGCCCCGAACCCTCCGCCCCCCATACACACTCAGTCCTGTCACAGTATTGGTCGGGACGTCCCTACCATCCATACCCAAATCTATACCTTTGCATCGAATAATTCCCTTTGGATAAAATCCACACGGCATACATAGTGGGAGTCACTACTGAATCTATGCAGCTTCTTTTAACGGTTATTCATGTTAGAAATTCATATAGTAAGATAGGTTTCTCAAGGGGTTTTAGGGTCCACATTGCTTCCTCTGTTTGGTTCATTCATATTAAAAGATTTAAATTCTAAAAAGGACCCATTAAGATGATTTAACTCTATGTCTTTATTTGTCTTATACTGAAGGGGTTTCCCCCACGTTTATATCAATACCACGAAGGCATCAGTCGCATGCAGTGTAGCAGATTTCTTTAACTAAGCTTCTCTCAGACATTGACCAGTGGAACAAAGTGATCGAGCAGCTCGGAACGCCGTCGCCGGAGTTCATGAAGAAGCTGCAGCCTACAGTGCGGAATTACGTGGAAAACCGGCCCAAGTACGCGGGCTTGGCGTTCCCTAAACTCTTCCCCGATTGCCTCTTTCCTGCTGATTCGGAGCACAACAAACTGAAGGGTGAGAGTCTACATTTTCTGTACTGCTGAGTGTGTTGGATTTTGTTAATACAGAGTACGACTGTAATGCGAACACGCAATATATCTCAGAGATATTTGCTTTAGCTTCCAGATGGCATAGCCATAATGTCATTTTACAGATGTATCAAAGTAATTGGGAATAAAATATGTGTCAGATATAAATTACATATTTCAAATATAAACTCATGTATGCAATAAATTGACCGAGGTGATATTGTCTGCAAAGATACTGAATGTGTAAGTGTTAGATGACCATCCTGGAGTTTGCTGGTTTTCTGTTGTCAGGGGTTGTATGTGGCATGAAGCTCGTCTGTTACAGGAAGTAAGTAGCTGTAGCAATTGCACATGGTGAGGGAAGTAGATTTTTAATGGAATACTTGTAGCATTTTTTAATGCATAGGCTTAAAATGATGGTGCCTCTTGTATTTAAAAATGCTATAGCTTTAATATTCTTACTACTTGTAATATGAGTAATTGGCAATATATGTTAATATTTGTTACATAAAGGAAGAAGAGGCAAAAAAAATGTTTTGAATTCTATATGTTTGTGAGGTATTATTAGTTCTTTTTATTATTTCTGAAAGACTTTTTTTGTCGAATTACACCGTGTGCTATGGCAACTGATTGTATGAGATCTGGTCTGTGACTCCATATTTTTCTACTCGACTGTATTGTTAATTAACTTGTGCCGAATGTGACTCTTGTTTTTTTGCAGCCAGTCAGGCCAGAGACCTGTTATCAAAGATGCTGATCATTGACCCTGCAAAGCGGATATCTGTGGACGAGGCCTTACAGCACCCCTATATCAACGTTTGGTATGACCCGGCAGAGGTGGAGGCAGTAAGTCTCATTATTGAAGCCCTTAAGACACCTACTGGTCATGAATGTGCTTGTCATTGCATAGCTTTCACCAAAGTCCTTTAAGGCTGTTCCTTTACATTTATCTTTATTTAGCAAATGCTTTCGTCCAAAGCGATGTAGAAGTGAGGCAAATAGCACATTATAAATATATATGCTGTAGATGAGTCTTCTAAGCATTGGTACAGCTAGGCTGAGCTTCCAATGAAAGCCCAGGTACAAGTGTGAGCAGTATTGGAGTAGGAGCTACACAACATCTCCCAAACAAAGCAAGAACCTAATAAGACAATTATTCAGATCAGCAAAAGCACAATATGAAGAACATTCAGGGTGCATGGAGTGGCGGAGGCCAGTGGAGGTATTCCTGGAACAGATGGGTCTTCAGGTGTTTCTTGAAAGTGGTCTGATGGCCGGATGTGGTTCGCCAGCAGCTTCCACCATCTGGGAACTTACTTGTGCCGGTTTACTCATTAAATGTTAAAACCATTAGTGCGGCTTTTTAAAATCTTCGATTATGCACATTTGCTTCCTTAAAAAAGGCAAAAAATAAGCGAAGTGTCCCAGTATATTAAGTACTGTAAGGCCATTAATACAGTCATAATCTGCTTATTTGTTGCATGATATTTGGTAAAACATATGTTTCGAAATATCTATGCTTTGAGAGCAAGATCATTAATATCTTCATTGTAAATGGCTGTGAGTATAATCTACCCCAGGAACTTTGAACACTTTTCCTTTGTACCATAAAAATTCTTCAAACTAGATACTGCTTCATGTGCGATGTCTGTAATCCCTTCATTTATACCAATACCTGTGTGAAATCACAGTGTCATGGGATAGTTGAGGAGTCTTTATAAACATTTAAAGATGCATTTTTTTCTGTCAAACACCTTGCCGTATGCTAATGCTATAGAATTATCTGAATTATCTGAATGTCCTTATAGCTGCCATGAATTTTCAGTAAGAGTTTTGATTTTTAAATGCTTTGATTTGTATTTATAATATATAATATAATATAATATATATATATATATACACGCTGTTCCCACCACACAACTGCACTGTGCAATTAAATAAATCTGCATTCTATTTTAAACCTCGATTTGTGTCTAAACAAGTTATTAAGCTAAACAATCTACTACAAGTTATTGCTTTAAAGTAGTATTTGTTATTAATGGAAGCTTATTGAGACCCATTTTTTTATACCGTTAAAATAATTGACTAATGATGTTATATTTAAGGTCCCAGTTGTTGGAATTTCTGCTTCTAACCAATAGCACTGATACACCATATTCTCTGGGCTAAACATATTTGCATTTCAATTCACTCTCTTATTTTCCATACATCAGTTCATTTGGGCAGCATTTCAGTCAAGTGTCAAAGCTAATTGGCGTTTTTCCCTGCAGCCTCCTCCTCAGATTTATGACAAGCAGCTGGATGAGAGAGAACACTCTATCGATGAGTGGAAAGGTGACATTTCATTATTCTCATAGATAATAGTAGTATGTTTATTCTACCTTCTCCGGTTTAGACCTTTTCCATATAGGAAACACATCTGTTTTGCAGGTTGATTCTTATTTATTTCATCACGCAAAAAGTAAGGTTTAAAAGCTGCAGTGTATTCATTGTTGATATTTTAGATTGGGGAACTATAATACATAATATTTAAGATGTTATTGTCTATTGCCTCAGTCATAACAGAGCAGGAAAAGTGTTTATATGGGGTCAAAATGCTTTTTATTCATCACCTTTGTAATGATGAAACCTTGTCTACCTGTGCAAATATGCTTCATCATTAGCTCTTCTATCAAAGTGGCATCATGTTAAATACTTGGGAAACACTTTACTTGACAGGGCACAAATAGTATAGTATTATGCTGTTAGTTATGTATTAATTAACCACAAACTAAGTCTTAGTTATATACTGATCTGATGTTAATTCATCATTAATGAACTGTGATGCATGTTTAATCTTGCGCAACTATACTTGTTCATGATTTGTATTTCAGTAGTAACTGAACTATTACTAGGTATTTGTGCCCCTACAAGTAAAGTGTTACCAATACTGATTAATAAAACTACTATCCGTGTAATATTCAACTTTATTCCATAACTGCTTATCTGGTATGGGACATGAATTACATGAAATATAATTCTCGTAAGAAAAATATGGAGTTTACAAAACATTAACTTATGGTTAATACTGATTATTGTTTCTCGTGAAGTGATACTTATTTTTTAAAGAAGATATTACACTTAAATTTAATATTCTGCTATTTTACAATGCCATCTCTTCACAGACTGAGTGTAAAACGATTATTCCACAAGGTCCTGAACTTTGTAAGAGTACAACTTAGAATGCTTTTAGCTAAAGTATTTCTCTGCTTTTTTTCTTTTCTTAGAGCTCATCTACAAAGAAGTGATGAACTTTGAGGAGAAAACAAAAAATGGTGTAGTGAAGGGACAGCCCTCTCCTTCAGGTACTCTCAGTGCATAACCTAATCCTCTGTAAGTGAATTTAACACCTAACTGGGTCCTCCTGTGACAAAGAATTCCATAGTGCGTAATTCATTCGTATTTGTTTCCCATCGTTCGAATGTAGACTAATATAGACTAATATAGATACACAGATGTGACTTTTTTTCTGGCAATTTTAATCGAATTAAAAACTGTTACATTTGTAAAGACAAGGCGGAGGGGCAGTCTAAAGATTGTGTGCACTGCATTGCATTTTCACATTTGTGCATGCGTATGCCATAATGTTGAGGATGGAGTCATTGGTCAGCGTTCACTGGAGAGCAAAATATTGTCATGGCAGCACTGCAATGTGTTGCAAGCACAACTTAAACCCTGGATTTAAATGGAGTCTGAATTGTAGAGAGAGCACTTTGTGATGATTGAATTCGATGGAAATTAGAAGGAAAAAAAAAAACATCTTCAATATTATCCCAAGTATCCCAAACAAATGACCTCATTATTACTGACCAGTGAAGGTTCTGTACAGTACATGGTGTTTCATATCCCGGTCCTCAGGGACCACCTGACGGTCCACGTTTTTGCTCCCTCCCAGCTTCCTGCCAGACAGTCCATATTCTTAAGGTATACAGTACAAGTATATATGATGTACTGTCTGCGGGTCCCTGGTTGAGAATCACTGCTGTAACACTGTTGACTTCCTTACAGCTTGTACTTTAAGTAATTTTCTTGAAAGCCTTCTTAGTCCTGAAAGCCATTTTATTTTTACTGAAGTGGTTGTAATAAACTGGCAGGAGAAGCCCCAAGTGTCATTTCCAGAATCATTATGCAAAAAAACAGGCAGCACTTCACATAAAGGCTAAGGTTATACAAAAAAGCTAAGGTTATACAAAAAGGCTGAGGTTATACAAAAAGGCTGAGGTTATACATAAAGGCTAATGTTAAACATAAAGGCTAAGGTTATACAAAAAGGCTGAGGTTATATATAAAGGCTGAGGTTATACATAAAGGTTAATGTTAAACATAAAGGCTAAGGTTATACAAAAAGGCTGAGGTTATATATAAAGGCTGAGGTTATACATAAAGACTAAGGTTATACATAAAAGCTAATGTTATACATAAAGGCTGAGGTTATACATAAAGGCTGAGGTTATACATAAAGGCTGAGGTTATACATAAAGGCTAACGTTATACATAAAGGCTGAGGTTATAAAAAAAAAGGCTGAGGTTATATAAAAAGACTGAGGTTATACATAAAGGCTGATGTTTGTTATACATAAAGGCTGATGTTATACAAAAGGCTAAGGTTATACAAAAAAGCTAAGGTTATAAATAAAGGCTGAGGTTATACATAAAGGCTAATGTTATATATAAAGGCTGAGGTTATACAAAAAAGCTAAGGTTATACATAAAGGCTGAGATTGTACATAAAGGCTGAGGTTATACATAAAGACTAAGGTTATACATAAAAGCTAACGTTATACAAAAAGGCTGAGGTTATATATAAAGGCTGAGGTTATAAAAAAAGGCTGAGGTTATACAAAAAGAAACTAATCCAAAGTCCAGAATGGAGACAAAGCAGAGGAAGTTACCAAATCCAAGAAGATACCTGCAGTATATACACTGTAATCCCAGATTGGTTGAGTTTACTAGAAATTCGCATGTAAACCTGTTCCCCTTAAACCACTTTAGTTTTTACACATTCTGAAAGTAAACAGATTAAGTTAAGTTAAGATGGACAATCATTAGTCTTTACGAAAAATTAGTTCACTTAACTAATTTTCTTTGCATCCCCAAGTTATTTGAAATAACTATCTTAAGAAAAACTTACATACACATTGTATATATCACTACTTATATTCATTTGTTAATATAAATAATGTGGTTTCTTCAAATGTAATTAATTAAATACTTTAAACAAAATTGTATGGAAGAAAAGCAATAAAACATTTAAATATTCAGAAAAACATTTATTTTTTCACAAAATAATGCAAGATAATATTCTACAGTATTGCACAACCCAAAAAAACAAACAAAAAAACTAATTTCTAAACAATTGCATATTTGCAAGAGGCACATTAAACATTATTTGTATGGCAAAGGCCTCCTTTAGGAACACCAAACTGTATAACAACCTACATGCAACACCTTGACTTTGGCCACATCTGAAAGTGACTAAAAATGATAAAATTATGGCTGTTCACAGCATACTTGACACATTTCTTTAAATTTCAAGCTGGTTTTTCAGTGTTTGTAGCCTTGGTTTCAGTTTACTGTGACCCAACGTGAGAAGAACCTGTTGGATGAACTGAAATGAGAGCTTCATAGACTTGGTGTAGTTTAGATACAGCATTTACACTTCCACAGCATCTTCACAAGAACCTGAAAAACAGAAAATGAGCAAACTATTAGCTCAAGATGCAGTAACGTTAACCTGACTAACAAAGAAATGTAGTCGGTAAATTACGAATCACCGTGTTAACACCCGACTAATATTATCATGGTAGCCTTGCTAACGGTCGCGTCCTTTGCAAAGTTACATTAACAGTATTGATATAAATGCAAGAATCACCTCTGACACCAAACACGGGTTAACCGCGATAGCCCGCTAGCTTGCGGTTAGCATTAGCTACAAGCTCATGCAATCACGCACGTTATTGTAAACACTGACTGAACCGACAGATAACCGTCTTCTTAAGACATAGCTGAGGTTAGCGTTTAGCTAAGTCCTTATTTGGACTGATCTTATGGGTCTATTAAGTCTCTATTAAGATTCTATTAAGAAAATTTAGCACTCACCAGGTTTCTTCAGATTCCCGCCCAGACAAACTCCAGCGCTCACTCCTCAGCGCGGTTCGTGAACACGTGACTCGAGACGCATTGAGTTTTGAAAGAGTTCCGCCCCCTCTGACAATAACGTAACATGTTGAATTATCTTTGCTAATGGTTATTGCACTGCACAATGTTGAAAAGTATTACAAACAGCTTATTCTGGTTTAGTAATTAGACACTGTTTTTACAAAACACGAAAGAATAATTAATCATTACTAAATAGTTTATGTTGAAACAAAATCCGGGTTTACAGTGTAGAAATACATGAGAATTTATAATGATTCAGCATTTAAAAAGAAAAAAATGGGAAGAAGACTAATAAATGCGCAACACACATGTAAGAAAGTGAGATCAGATCCTGAAGATCTCCATTTCTAAACACGGCCTTTAGAGCGTGTTGTTTTACAGTAATACTGTACTACAAACTGAGCGTTATGTATACTATAACCAGGGGCGTTGCTAGAGATTTTGGGCCCCATGAAAGCATATCATATTAGGCCCCCCAGTCCAAACCAATCCAGTTATTTTCTTAATTTTTTAGGGCCTCTGTCACTCAGGGGCCCTTGGAATCGTCCTAGCTTTCCTCCCCCTTACGGCGCCCCTGACTATAACATTCAGAAATGACATCACTTCCGCTGATCTTTCTATTCCAGTCTTTTAATTACATCATACATGTTGATTTTTAAAAATATAACATGCGATATTTCCAGACTGATATTAATGATACCGTTAATATACATAAGTCTAGATGAAATGAGAAAAAAATTGCCTCTAATAATTTGGGATTTATACACACTGATGTACATAAGACTGAAATATATGCATTGTACATTTGTGGACATACGTGTTCTGCATAAGGATTGCTAATCCTTAAGGATAGCTTGATTTTACTGACAACAGTGTGTGTTTGTAGTTTCAAGGCTCAAGTGATGCAAACCACTGACTCCATCCATAAGTCACATTTACACATTTACCACTTTACAATAAGGCTCCCTTTTGCCACTTGTAAATGGTAGTAACTCAATAATAAAAAGAAAACTGTGTTATGACTTGTTTAAAATTGTCTATTAATAATTTACAAAGTGTTACAACCTAATTAATAACCAGATTATAAACCATTCATAAACTCCTTATATGGGTAGCCTTATTGTAAAGTGGTACCATACATTTCCCATGCCTGATGTTTATATGTTTTACTGATGCTGCTAGAATCCACACTCTTTTCAATGTAACCCTGTTAATGTTAATTCTCTTAGCGCAGGTGCAGCCATGAATAGCAGTGAGAGCCTCCCTCCTTCTTCCTCCTTCAATGACATCTCCTCCACGTCCACCGATCAGACCCTGGCCTCCGACACTGACAGCAGCCTGGAGACTTCTGCAGGACCCCTTGGTTGTTGCAGGTGACTAGCCGCCTGCCTGCGTCACCCAATGTTCTTCAGAAGGTAAAGTGCATCAGAAATCTAAACAATGACGAAAAAGATAAGGAAGCAGAAAAAAGATCAAATAAAAGCCTGCATTTTCATTCTAAGTACTACGTAAAAACACATGCTGAAATGTATATTTATAAACTTATAATAGCTTTGCTTGTATCTCCCTTCATATGGCATTAAAGTTAGACAGACATCATTCTGTATAGTGTAAATTTACTGGTTGATAAGCAACGCCCTGCAAGCTTTTTGTGCTATGGTGTGTGTGTGGCAAGGTGGGTCTTTGTGTTAATTATTTAAAAAAACAAAACAGACAAAAAAAATCCTCCCCTCGTTTCCCCAAAGTTATAGTACTACTAATTTCTAATCTTACAGATTGGATCTAAGAACAGATTGGCTTGCTTGTCTGTGATTCTTCTGGGGAATGCTTGTACAGTGCCCTTCTTATTTTGTATATATGTAATTCTGCATCTACATCTGCAGGGCACACTGGGTGGGACTAACGGCCAGTATGAGAACCTCTAGCACACCTTGCCGCATAACCCCTTTGATCTTTGTTTCCCTTTGCCTGTAGTTCTGCATGATTATAAAAATGCGAGTTATGAGAAGTAAGTACAAAGAATCTTGTTTATATACCAGTTAAGAAAAAAAGGGGGGAAAAATGTATCGAGCTGCGTCACAAACGCTGAAATTGTAAAATCGGATGTGCGTTAGCTGCAGGAAGCGAAGGTGAATTTACCGTCACTGTTGTCGCTGAGCTCATTCCTTGGTTTATAGCTTTTGGTTTTGTAACACGCATTCCTCCACATCACTGCACTGCTGCGCCGCATGCCATCGCATTATGACATGAGGCAGATGTGGCATATATGCCTGTGGTTAGAAACAAAAGTGGTTTGGACGTCAGTCGTCCTCTGTGGATAAATGAGTGATGATAAAACTAAATCAGGTCAAAAAAGTTTTGAATCCATCTCATTTATTTTTGTAGATATTAGTCTGTTGAAACGGATACAAATAGAGTATACTGACTGCACACGACTAGAATTCTATTGATACTTTTTTGTTGGTCTTATTATTTTTGTATTTTGAATTTGGCTAGTGCCTTTGAAAATGTTCATCCCAAATACAAAGGCAACATTGTATGAAACACAAGACTTGAGCCTGAAACCAGAAAGTTGAAATCACACAAGAGTCATATATTAAACCTCCATCAACTTCAACAATGGCAATTTACCTCTCTCTGCTGACATTGGTACATTCTGTGAATTGATACCCACACCTACAGAATAGACATATACTACCTTTGCATTTAATCATAGTATTTTAAGTCTTAGTGTAGACTATTCCATCAGCATCTAAGTACACTCTCTGTTTGTGTTTATCATAATCTTATGTATAATAATGGGTAATAGTCATAATCGAAATGTGTAAGTTATTTAATTTGGGGTCTTGGTAGTATACTTCAGTTGTATGATTTCAGATATATAGATATAATTTATGGGCATTTTATGAGTGTACTATTGAACATTTTTAATAAAGGGATGAAAACACTTATTCCAAATGGATCTTGTTTTGGATTTCTGCTGAACACTGAAATTAACGACATACTGATTCTTGGAAGCTCTGTGCAGAGTGAGGCTTTCTACTGTCATTGATTTGTTGTTTTTTTTGTCATATTCCACTTCATGTTTAATGTTTTTTTTTAAAATATAATTTCTCATAGTGAATGAATGTTTATGTTATTAGTGTCTTTTCTTACATCAAAAATGCAATTCAGCCCAGTTATTTATTGTAGTTAGTTTTTGAATCTAAATCAGATAGAGAGACTTAATTTGGTTCAGTTTGTGATATGTTCTTGATTAGAAAGGATCATTATCAGATAATTACAGATATGTCACCCTGTACTGGATAGATAGTTTGGGAGAGGTTTCTCAGTTGCAGTTGGGCTGATTATCTTTTAAAAATTACCATTTTTATGCCATATTGTTGATCAGTTTCATGATAGTTCAGTCTTTTTCACTGCATATTGATTATGTCTATTTCGGGAACGTCTCAGAGTTCCCTGACATGAAATAATCCTAAAAGGAAATGATTCGCTGCTCAGAACTTCATCAGAATGTGATGCTTTTAAAACTCATCTGGAAATATAGAATGAAAATATCATTAAAGGATTAGATGTGGTTTGGGAACATAGATTTCTGACTTACATGGTGCAAAAGAAGATTTTTTTGTTTTGTCTTTTTGTTTGTTGGCTTTTTTGACAATCAAGTTAGAGTATTGTAGTCCTGAGCAAAAATACATGAACTTGTTTCTGTCGTACAAAATTCAGCATTTTTGGCTGTATATAATACACATTTACACTCTTCTGCTGGATTCAAAATTTCTAATCATTTTTACCTTTATTGGAATTAGTAAGCATCACATATGTGAATTAATAACATTTTCACTAGTGACAATCACAGGTAGGCACTAAAAAAGTGAAATAAAATGAAAAAATGCGATCAGTTATACATAAAGAAATCTTTAGCTTGATATAATCAGAGAAGCTCTTACTCAAATTGTTGCAGCCCCACAAAATGAGCTGACACAGAATTAATATTTGATTGATATGTAATTTCCCAACACAAGTTTTTTTTCCCCGAGCACATCATTTCTGTTTCTAACCAGTTGGATGATTAAGTTAATAATGTGATTATGATGCTCACAATGAATAATTCTGATATAATAGTATATTTCTATTTACATAAATTCAGGCAAGGGGCAGTCAGTGCTGATGGGTTGGTCAGGTGGACAGCTCAGGTTCTTTGCTCATGTGTTCCGCTTTATCATTTCAGACCTGCTTTTAAAGTAACTGTCCATTACCTTCTATAGCAATTTTGCATGGAAAACAGCTGAAACATTGTATAACTTTACAACGACAATGTAGATAATATTTTCATAATTCAAAAGAAACACTAACAGAAGGATTACAGTATACGGAGAGTCATACATAACCATGGTCCTTACAAAATGAGGGAAATTCGTTACAACCAATGTAACTAATATAGTACAAAATACAGACGGTCAATGTTTGAAAGAACAATCAGGGGTCAATCAGAAGTTCCAAAGAGCTGACAGGCCTTTATCTGTAGGAACTGGAAGAGATCTTGAAAGAGGGATAAGGTCATCACACATTTAAATGTTGTTATCATTTCATTTTGATTATGTGTGATTACTGTCATTGATTTAAGTTAGAACTGAAATTCACTGTTGAGTGTAATGTGCTGTTGTGTATTTTATACGGAAAGTTTTTAACTGGTAGAATACGCATCTCAAGAAAGTACAGATTACATTATGAGGTTTCAACCTTTTAGCAACATTGCTAAGTATATGGGGACTGTTTTACAATATGGAAGGTTGTTTTTTTTTCTTTTCTTAAAAATATATTTTCCAGATGTTTTCCCTAACGTTAACTGAAGTGCTTTTGGAAAATGTGTTTTTTAGATTAAAATTCCTTATCAGATAATTCACACTTCACATGCATAATTAAAGTGGAGTTCAGACCATCTTTAACCCAAACCAGCATTCTACAAAACAGACATCCCAAGGAATGAAATTTGATGCCGTGTATTATAATAACCAAGGCAAATGTCTGTAAAGCCCTTGGCTAATTATATATTTTTGTGTGTATGTTCATCTGTGTTTTCGACAATTGAAATTGTAACTTTTGAGTTCCTTAACTCATTTGAAAAAGTTCACTTTTAAATGTTCATAAGTACTGTTGTCCAAATTTATTGTAGTTGTTTACAACAGTACGGAAATACTGCAGCCCGATAGCGGGAATAAAAAAGACATGCAGTAACCTAATTTTGACATTAGATTGAGAAACCTATTGTTGTGTAATTTAAGCACCACAAATTGAAAATAAAAGCTCGACCAGGAAGCACCCAGGAGTGGCCTTAAGTGTGAAACAAATCACATTCTTTTACTAGCCTGGTTAGTAATTCATAGCAAAATCATATGTACTTGTGTACTTTAAGACAGCCAGTTCAATCATAAGTATACTATAGAAAGCTCTTGTTTGTATTGCTTGAATTATAATCCCGAACATTTTGTATATAGTTCTCACTAAATAAATGAATTTAAGATCACATCAGAGATCCTATGTCAAACCTCAACATCAAAGCATTTTTAACTGGCAGGATTGATTTAGTGTAAACAAGGCCATTCTCTCTATACTCACCATACAGCAATATATGAAGGACTAGTTACAAGAATTAATTTCTTTCAAAAATACACAAAGGTGCAATAAAATTCTTTAACAGGGGGTAAACCAATTTTTTTCTCTCAGAGAAAATAAATGTTAACAATAGTGTCAAATTATGTTGATTTTTTTTCCTGTTCTTTTTTTCACTCTGCTCATTTTGTATTGTGGAAAGGCCATTCTGTTAATGTTACATTGAAATCTCTGTCCGTGGTTCATGCCACAATGCTTTGTCAAGTCTGATGGTAGTCAGATATTCAGCTCCAGGCGAGTGTTTGGATCCCATAACTAAATGGAAGAAAATAAATAGCTAAAAACAACAACTGAAAACTGTTATACACTCAAAATTTTGAAGGTACTGTATAAGTAAATTAAATATATGTCTGTGACTGAAAAATAAACAAAATCTTTGACCTTGGAGCAGGGTGTGTGTTTTTAATGCCTCAGCATGTTTTTTTGCAAAGTTTAAATGCATTTCGCCATTGCTATAAACCGAAGACATTTATACTTGTTTTTCTTTATAGTCCTTGCATGTTAATAGGTGGATAATTTATTGTTGTGATTTTCAGGGGGATAATTTCCAAAATCATCCCATCTAATTTGTACCCCAGCCTTACGCCCTCTGCAGTCTGGGAAAGGCTCCAGAAGATAGATGGGTAATTCACAAAATATGCAAACAGCATATTTTGACACACATATTAAATCATCATTTCATGTTAAGGCTCGTTATTTAATGGTGGGGAAAATGGGATGCAAAAGGTTTTTTCACTGATTGCCTTTTGGGAGCTACTTTCCAGCACATTCTAAGTTCCTGATGCAAGATTAGTAAGTTGCAATATGCAGGATTCTTAAATTGAAATGAATTTAAGTGAAAAGAAGTGGTCAAGCAAAGTTTTGGGCAGAGAAAATATATCTTTCTTGATAACTGCGGCACTGAATGCACTATATGACATTTCTCGAATTTAGAACTCTTTCTTACTAGGATGACAGCTAAGGGCAATATATATACGTGTAAAACTGAAAAAAATAATAAATGGTAGGGAGCGATGTACAGCGTTTTATTTCTTAGAGCCAACACACAAAGTCCCACAATCAGTGTTGTGCAGCAGGCTAAAGTCGATCAGATGTACTGTAAATGGAGTAACAAAGGATGATCCAGAATGGTAGCTTTAAAGCAGTACGTCATATACAGGCTTCCACAAATCACAGTACAACTTGCGAGAGAGAAATGAGACTTTGCATCTGTGTCAGATGCACTGGGATTTAAATGTCTAAACAGCTATCAGGGTGCAGATTACACAGGCAAGGTAATTGCAATATGGGCAAGACTGCAGTAAGTGAAGGTGTGACAATATTATTCTATTTTGACATCACATACATCACTCTTTTCCGGTATATATCTGATACAGCGAATACGTGCAAATCTGACATTCAGCAGAAGAATGAGGAAACAGCAGCTATACAGAAGTAGATGGTCCTGTTATTTTCTTGATTTCTGTTATATAACGCAATTTATCATGTGTAAGGTATGCATCATTGATGATGCTCACATTCCATAATGTATAGTTTTATGTGAATACTAATCGTATATTCTAAGACAAGACCATTACTACATATATGAAATATGTAAGCTGTATTTATCTATCAAAAAACTTATACAATTCTACTTGTAAAACTGTTGTAAAATAACATTGTCCCCCCTGATGGCTCCCAAGACTATTGGACAGTACAACACAGGAAATAAGTAGCCAGCTGATTGAATGCGAGACTCCAGGGAGAAACAAAGGACAGGAACCAGGAAACGGTGACTTGGAAATGGGGCTGAAATACAAAAACAAGAAAACACATGACAAGCCTCTCGACAAGCTCTACAGAACAGCTGTGAACTTCTGGGAAACAGGACAAAAAGTCTGAGCCGAAACACAGATTAAAAACAGCCCCGCAAACCCACATGTAAAATTCATAACCAATCCTAGGTCTAAATGGACCTTCATGCCCCTCGATCCAGATAAGATTACAAGGAGCCATACAAGGTCAGCAGCACAGGGGGTAACAGCTGGCAAATAGCATATAATTGGGAAAAAACAGTTTGGCTTGTATTAATAATCATGTGAGAAAGAAATGTATTTAAATACTATTAAAAATCATCTGGAATAATGCATCTAAGCTTAGTCAAGGATGTTGTTGTCATATATACTTGAACTGGGAACAAAAATAAAATTGTTAAAAAATAAATACCATCAATAAATTAAAACATTCATAGACAATGCAAAAGTATAGGTTAGAACTAATTATAACTAATTAAATATAATTAATATACAGTAGTTTATAACTAATTAAAACTTAATATTGAACAGTTATTTAAAATGTAGCACTAACAATGAAACAGATATGATATTTAGAATATTTTATAAAATATTTATATCTTTTCATTTTGGTCATGGGAAAAGTCTAGTTACACATGAAGAATAGCATAAAGTTATTTAAATTAAGATACAGCATATGTAAAAATAAGCACCACCATACACAAATCCATGCCGTACCGCAGTTAGAGAAAAAAAAAGAGACAAGTAAGTGCAAGGAAAATCCATAATAAAAAAATGCAATGCATTGATCATTCAGAAAAACATTTTAGTTTATTTTTACAAATATATTTTTCTTGAATATATAAACATCTATATACACACACCCAGATACAGGATAACATTTAACATTGGTGGACTATTTATTTGACAAGGTCACATTAAAGAATTATAGCACAACCCACTTATATAGGTTGTTTTCCTTCAGGAGTTCATGAGAGGAGAGTGCTGGTCTCTGCCTGTCAGGGGACCAGCCACCCTCTGCATTACCACCAATGGGAGAGTTAGATTTATGAGGGGGTCCTTCACTGGATCCAGACAGTATTCGCTCTTTCTGGCCTGCGTGGGTCTGCCGTCAGCTCCCCAAATGTGGAAAAGAACTGCTCCATCTCCTTCTGCAGCATCTCGTTCCTCTTCTCAGCATCCTCCTTCGCCCTCTCAGCGTTGCGCAGCTTTATCTCCACCATAGTGTACTTCTTTCGCTCCTGGTCCAGCTCCTCGTGGAGGTTCACCATCTCAGCCTCCAGCTGCAGGTTATGCTGCTCCAGGCTGGAGGAGGAGAAGGAGAGGAAATGTCTCTGGATACTGGAACAACCTTCCACAACTGGCAGGAGACGCAGACATTCTGTTCTGCATCATTATCTATTCATCTGTACTGGTGTTTCAGAGAAATTCCCTAAGTGTAAGTCATCATAATGCTTAAAATGAAGACATGAGAAATTACAAATAAATTAACATACCGATGATCATTTCCCATACGATAAAATAATTACATTTCCAAGAATTTTTGAGAGCAATGCACAATGAACTTTCTGGTGTCATGTTTGGAAAAAAAATAATGATTCAAAATTAAAAATTCAAAATGCTGAAGCCTGGAATCTACTCCTTGCATGCTTTTCAGTCTAGCATCTCCAACAAGTCGAAACTAAATTGTGGTAATTACTAATTAGTAAACTTACACTTAATCGTGCACATGCGAATACAAGCAGTGTAAATGTTAGCACTTGATTATCATATCACACAACATGGCATAAAAAAAGCATGTTTTAGGTGAAATTTAAAACTCAGCATTGACAGTTTTATAGCTGATTTTAATCAATGACCAGCTCATGTATCGTGCTGAATAAAGCACTGCAGAGGTGATTTGGTATTTCAACTGAACTCTAACTTAACATTACATATACAGTAAATTTTACAGACGTCAGCTAGAGATAAAGGAGAGATATCCATGTTTAGGGACGAACATCATTATCTCCGTAACCCTATTACATTGGCACTCAAAATACAAACTCATTTTTAGTTTATTTAATTTGGAATCCAATGAATGATGAAAAGTCATGAAACCCAGTAAAAGTATGTTTGTTAATAGTGATTTACCTCTTGATCTTGGCGTCATACTCAGTTTTCTGCTTCAGCATCTCCTGTTTGAGGCTGCCCACCAGGCTATGCAGAGCAGCGTGACTTCCTGGGCCGTTATTCACCGCACGTGTGTCACTGTTGTCACTGCTGCTGGTGACGAGGCTGCTGCGGCCGCCCGCATCCCGCCTGCTGGCTTTGCTCTCGAATTCCCCAAGCTGGCCCAGCTCGTCGTGCGAGGGGTCGTAGAGCACCGGCTCGTCATATGGAGTCACGAAGAAGTCCTGCTCTGGGCACGTGGTGCTGGATGACCAGCAGGAGTTAGAGTTGTCCGGCAGGGATATCTCGCAAGATGAGGTGGACCAGGTGGCGCTGTCCACACTCTGCTTGTCCTCACAGCTGTTATTTGATGAGTTCTGCTGCTGGACGTTGTCATATGTGGACAGGCGGTGCTGCTGGGCCGTCTTTTCGCTCAGGCAGTCTTTGGTCTTGCTATCGCGCATGGTGACGTAGCCATTAGCCACCCACAATCCACTGCGTCCATTCAGGGTCCCGTTAACGGCGTCGGTGCTAGAGACGCCAAGCCGTATACTGCCATTGGAAACACCGCTGGTGCCCATCTTAGTACCACAACCTTTTAGCGAGCTGGTGCGGCGGGCAGGAATGCCACCACCTGACAGCATCTCACTCTTCTCCTGGTGGCCGTCAGCGGTGTTGCTGCTGAATGAGCCATTGGTCACTATGCCGCTGCCCTTACTGTATGCCGGGTTCTTTTTCACCGCGAAAGGCGGGCTGCGAGTCACGTCTAATTTTCCAGTCAGGCTGTGAGGCGGACTGCCCGATTGGGGGCCTCCCAGAGGCGTAGGAGAGCCATTCTCTGCTGTGGTCTTCTGTTGTGACTCAGGCATCTCCCAGGAACACTGCCGTACGGCTGCCACGTTGTTGTTATTCTCCTCGTTCTGCAGGTGGCCTGTCGCCTGCGTCTGCTCAGACTCGCTGTTGTTGTTGCACATCTGCAGGTCAGTCTGGTGCTCTTCCTCTTTTGGGAACAGCACGTCATGTCTCCCAATCAGAACTGACATCAGCTGCTGGACCAGTACCGTACCTGTAAAAGCCCCATGAATGTTAACACACAGGTAAACCACACTGGGGAAAATAAAGCAAACATTTTTTCCAGTGAGGTGAGTTTAAACACACAGGACATTCGTAAATTTGTAAACTTACCTTCCATAATTGTTAGAGGGTCCTCTATCTTTGGCCGTAGGATGTTCGGACCAAAAACAGTAGCCAGGTTCTGAACGCTCATTTTATTCACATCTGAATAGGACTGCACTTCATCTAGAAACCTTGAGATTTAAGTTAGAATATAATCATAATGAAAGAGTTTATCTGGGGAACATCAGCTAAAGTATATACATTTACAGTGCAGGAGATTCAGTCAGAAATGTTGAATAGCGAGAGCCATACCTGCATATGTACTTCAGTAAGTTGTAATTTACTTGAGGTAGGATTTCCACCTGATTTCTTAGCTCTTTCATGCCCTTTAAGTGAACAAATAAAGCAAAGCATTACCATCTGCTAATGTATCATCATTTTAGTCATACATGGTATTAATTATTGCATTTTATACCTTGTATTACTTCACTAATACTTTGTATTAATTTCATAAACACCTCTATAGGCCTAATTACTTTTTTTTAGCCATGTATTAATTTCCTGGGAAAAATGCCTTAAATGCAACAGGGAGACTAGCTTGCAGAGGCTGTTTCTGCCTTGCTTCAGTCATACATACACTGCGATGGTGTCATCTCAACAGAATTAGCATTTGAGGTTGCTGGATGCGTTTCCTGTATAACTGAACTCTCTCTCTCACCAGTGTTGGCTTAAGTTATTGGGAAGGCAAAATGTTCCCCAACCGCTGATTATGGCTGACTGTAACCAGCATTAGTCTTAACCAACACACAGCCATAATCACCATAAAAGTTTTCTGTGCCGAACATCTAGCCTACTTGTGAATTTAGGTTCCGCCCGTGTCAAGAAACGTATTCATTCATTTCAGTGCATGTACTACCTGAAAAGGTGGTACTGAATGGTACGTGATGAATATGTGTACCATTACAGCCCTAATATTTACTCACAAAATTCAGGTCTCTGAACAATTACACTTATGGTATCCTGTTCAGGCAGAGCTGCATTGCCATTGGCTCAGTGGATCCTGGGTCACAGAATTCTCCCTGTGTTTGCAGAGGGGGTTAGGATCTTCATTTGGCAAGTCCAAAGGTTCACTGGTTCATTACATGTTGACCCTACACATTGCATAGTTCTTAAATTATTTTAAACATCCGTAACTTGTCTCACATGGTCAAGCGGTTAGGATTCCTGGTTTTCATCCAGGCGGCCCGGGTTCGACTCCCGGTGTGGGGAAGCTCAATTTTAAGGGGCAGTGTGAGGCTCAGTGGGCTAAGCCTAAGTGCCTATAATCAGAATTCAAACAAGTTCAAACCCAGCCTCAGCAAGTCTGTGGGTCCTTGAGCAAGGCCCTTAACCCCCAGCTCCCTGGGCGCCGCTACAGGTGGCTGCCCTTCGCGGACAGCTTACTCTACGAAGAGCAAGCTGAGGGAGGTATAAAGACAATTTCTTTGGGGATTAAGAAAGTATTGATTATTATTATAAACCTAGATTACAGTGTAAATTGCCCTTGGAGTCTGTGTGTCTTCTATGATGGATTGGCATCCTGGGTGGCATACTGTATGTCTGTACGTTCTCCAAGAACCCCATGACCCTGCATTAGCGGTTAAGGCTAACGGATGTAATGTATCCAGAACCTGCACAGTTTAACTGGCAAAGGAATTACTTTATTGAACAAAAGACCCCCAAGCTCAGGGACCCAGTCAATCTCTTAGAGGGGGTGACATCATGATTGTCGCAGAATTACTTTTTCTTTCTCACAGTCATTGAGCTCTACTACAAATGTGCGCTGCAATCAGCAGTCAATCGAGTCACAAGAAGACACAAGAAACAAAGAAAACTCACACGGTAGAAACTGCAATTCTTACAACTGCAGAAGAGCCTCCTTAGCAGTATCAGTATCAGGGGGTCAAGCAACATTTAGAATCAGAACAATGATGAATATATGATGCTGAAATAATAATTGATGTGATCATTTCCATTCATCCATCTTCCACTCAGAATCACACCCTATGGCCAATTTTGAGATTTTGTCTAACTGCAGGAGGAAACAGGAGCACATGGAGGCAGGAGGTAAATCCGAATCAGAGAGGACTGGGAGCCCTGTCAGATACCGTGGGGGTCCTGAATAAGCCGCTCTCGGGGAGCCCGTCGGGTACGGTGGGGGTCCTGAATAAGCCGNCGGTGGGGGTCCTGAATAAGCCGGTCTCGGGGAGCCCCGTCGGGTACGGTGGGGGTCCTGAATAAGCCGGTCTCGGGGAGCCCCGTCGGGTACGGTGGGGGTCCTGAATAAGCCGCTCTCGGGGAGCCCTTCGGGTACGGTGGGGGTCCTGAATAAGCCGCTCTCGGGGAGCCCGTCGGGTACGGTGGGGGTCCTGAATAAGCCGCTCTCGGGGAGCCCCGTTGGGTACAGTGGGGGTCCTGAATAAGCCGCTCTCAGGGAGCCCGTTGGGTACGGTGGGGGTCCTGAATAAGCCGCTCTCGGGGAGCCCGTCGGGTACGGTGGGGGTCCTGAATAAGCCGCTCTCAGGGAGCCCCGTTGGGTACGGTGGGGGTCCTGAATAAGCCGCTCTCGGGGAGCCCGTCGGGTACGGTGGGGGTCCTGAATAAGCCGCTCTCGGGGAGCCCGTCGGGTACGGTGGGGGTCCTGAATAAGCTGCTCTCAGGGAGCCCGTCAGGTACAGTGGGGGTCCTGAATAAGCTGCTCTCGGGGAGCCCGTCGGGTACGGTGGGGGTCCTGAATAAGCTGCTCTCGGGGAGCCCGTCGGGTACAGTGGGGGTCCTGAATAAGCCGGTCTCGGGGAGCCCCATCGGGTACGGTGGGGGTCCTGAATAAGCTGCTCTCGGGGAGCCCGTCGGGTACAGTGGGGGTCCTGAATAAGCCGGTCTCGGGGAGCCCGTTGGGTACAGTGGGGGTCCTGAATAAGCCGGTCTCAGGGAGCCCGTCGGGTACAGTGGGGGTCCTGAATAAGCTGCTCTCGGGGAGCCCGTCGGGTACAGTGGGGGTCCTGAATAAGCCGGTCTCGGGGAGCCCGTCGGGTACAGTGGGGGTCCTGAATAAGCTGCTCTCGGGGAGCCCGTCGGGTACAGTGAGGGTCCTGAATAAGCCGGTCTCGGGGAGCCCTTTGGGTACGGTGGGGGTCCTGAATAAGCCGCTCTCAGGGAGCCCGTCGGGCACGGTGGGGGTCGTGAATAAGCCGCTCTCNGGGAGCCCGTCGGGCACGGTGGGGGTCGTGAATAAGCCGCTCTCGGGGAGCGCCGTCGGGCACGGGGGGTGTCCTGAATAAGCTGCACTTCCGTCCCGCCAGTCAAAATACAAAATAACAGGAAAGATAATCATGGCGTCTTATAGGAATACCTCATCTGCTTGAGAACTGAATGTTTGGTCAGTTATAAATGTACATTAACATTAAACCTGATTAAAAAACGTGATTAAAGAACAGAGGAGGAGGAATCAAACCCACACACAAATTGAAAGAACAGAGGAGGGGGAATCAAACCCACACACAAATGGAAAGAACAGAGGAGGGGGAATCAAACCCACTGTCCTGTGAGGCCACCATACCACCCACACATTAATTAAAATACACAGGTGTATACATGTAGTAACCAACTGTATTATCACAACATTACCTGTCAAATGCTATATCAAGCTGCAAAGAATTGTGTAGGCTGTTATAAAGATTTATATGACATCAACAACCTCATAAAAAGATAGATAGATAGATAGATAGATAGATAGATAGATAGATACTGTAGATGAAAGAAACTTGCAATGGTGCAAATTTCAGCGATACTTACTGATTCTTCCTCCCTTCCAAGGAGCGTAGCGCAGGCAAGAAACTCCTCGTACTTGGCAAAGGGAATAACTGGCTCTGGAAGTTCCCTCAGGTAAAGCTTGAGAAGGGAGGCCACTGTGTGCACATCTGTGCTACTGCTAGTCACAGGAGGAGAGAAATAGCAACATCGTACAGATCCTTTGACACAAATTAAACAATCATTACATTGGCCAAATTAGCTCACCTCTACCCACAATTCACAGCTAACAGTCACCGAGGTTTCCCTACACCTCGTTTTATTTGTAAGGGTTTTTTATTAGTTATATTCACTAAAAGATGGCTGGCAATAACCAATTAAGTGTGAATGAATGAAGTGCACACTCATAAGTGAACACTCATAATTATTAAGTGCACAATCTTTAAGATCTTTAATCATCTTTAAGTGAAAAATTGTTGATTACTATCAGTATCTTTTTTTGGCTCCTGGTAAAAGCCAATCTTATGTTTCTCTACTCACAGAAGCTTTTAATTCACTGCTTAGATTCACATGAAACATCACTCTTCTAAATCAAACAACAGATGAACCACATTAAAAGCCAATAACCACAGAGGCCAAAATCAACCTACTGTACCTAAATTTGCACACCTAGCAAAAATATCAAATGTCACGCTGCTTGGTTCATTGATAAATATTTCCATAAAACTGCCATTACATTTAAGACATACTAAAAAAATACTAAACTAAATATTTTTGGCAAGTGCATTCAAAATCAACTTTGCTGTTTTTACTATGCAATAAAACTTCAAATTGTTAGTAACTCTCTATTACTTGAAATCAGGGATCAGTCAGAATGACTCAATACATTTGCATAGTTAGTCCACTGTTTCCTTATCCCAAAACTGCCGTCAATACATGTGTGCTTCCTGCATGATTAACAACATGCAAACTGCAGGAAGTTTGTGTTTTTCATGAGCCCACAGGTGACTGCAAGCTTGGCATATTCATTAACTCTTCTCAGTTGAAGCTCAGCTGTGCTGAGCATTAAGATAATGCAACGACCAGTAATATACAAGCAAAAACCGAAACGTTAGGCACATGATCCAACACCAGTTTTCAAGGTTAAAGACTTAATACCCAAGCACTTTGTTCTCTGTGAAGTTCACTACGCGAAGTAATCATTTCATGAATCAGTTCATAAAAATTAAAAGAACTAACAACCTAGCATAATGAATTTAGTTAGATATCAAAGGATTATGGATCTCAATAAATTTCTTAAATAAAAATTCAAAGGTCAGTACCTACATATTTCAGTTAAGAACAATAGTGTTCTGAGGGTTGCTTGGTGGTGCAGAGATTAGCATCATTACCTGGGACCTGGGATCAAGTCTCCACTAGGGTCCCACGTGTGTGGAGTTCACATGTTCTCCCTGCTCTGGGGTGGGATTTATTCTGGGTATTCCAGTTTCCCCCCACAGTCCAAAAACATGCTGAGGTTAACTATTACCGAATCGCCCAGAGGTGTGAGTGTGCCCAGTAATGGGTTGGCACCCCATCCTGTGTTGTTCCGGAGCAGCGTCAGGGTTACGGGACCTACTGAAGGGCCCAATGGTAACATCACTCTGCAGAACCTGGGATTTGAGCCTGGAACCATCTGGTCACAGGCACAGCAAGCCACTCACCATCCCAAAAAACTTGTGTCATTGTTACTCTAAAGCAGTAAAAGTGGCATTTAATATTTAGCTTTTGTGATTGTAATGAGGTCCTTGCAGAGCCAGTTATTTAGGCGTTTTGCTGTCATACCCGTCGAAGAAGGGCTTCTCGCCGCAATCGAAAGCGTCCTGCAGCTCTTTGACCAGGTTGGCCTGGCCAGGCAGCCGGAAGAGCCCTTCCTCCTGCAGGCCCCTCTGGCGGATGAAGTCCACGCACTTCTCCACCAGCATGGGCGCCTGTTTGTTCCCATTGTGCTTCTCATAGCGCATTGTTTCCTCCAACTTCTGTCCAAAGATACCTGAGACAAGCAGCGATACATTCATCCGCTTTGGGACATTTAAAAGCCTTTAGTACATGTGAACATTTAACTGAAAACAATGCAGTAATTCAGTAATGTAATGTTTGCGAAATAAGATATTGCAACACTGGATCAGTAGGCAGATACAAAAACCCAGCAACTGAATTTTATAAATTTCAGCATTTTGATATTAGAAACACTTTACATAATTTGCATGTGTTTTGGGATTAGATTTGGAAATGGACATACTATTTCACATAAAATTATCCTTAGAAACAAAGAGTATCCTACTTATTCAAATGTAGAGTATCCTACTTTCATATAATAAAGATATAATAGAGAACGCAGAACAGCACAGAACTATATTGCTGAACTGAATGGTATAGATGTTCCCTTCCTGTGGACAAATTTGAGACAAATCCATCTCCAGTAGCTCAGTTTTATCTTTATGAATATACATTTTTCCTCACTATGTGTTCACAGGGTTGAAAAATATCAAGCAGAATGTATGCGGGGTCATTTAATAGCAGAGCCACATCTCTTGTTCACATCTTTAACAAAAGGCTTTGCCTTTTGAAAAGCAGTCAGCTGAAATAGACATCAGATTGCCCACACTGCAAACACTGGGGCCAACTAATCCATTCCTGTCATGTCCACTGCAGTTCAAGCAGAGGAGGGACTGAAATGATCTCTCATCTGGAATTTCGCGCAGTGACGGTCATCAGTAATCCCTAAATATACGAGGGATCTACAAAGGAGCGTCATTAGAAAGTGACAGCTATGCTAATCTAAAGTACCTCTTAGTAGTATTCAATTCAATTTCTTTTTATATAGCACCCTTCACAACACAGTCATCCCAAGACACTTGAAAAGAAAGGGTGGCAATTCAGTACTACCATCATATATAAAAAATGGGGCACGAAACAGGGAAATGGGGAAGAGGGAAAAAAAGAATAGAACAGCAGAGAAAGAAAAGACAAGACAAAAAAGAGAGAGACTATATCTGATACTATTAAAAAGGATCCTGAGGTTATTTAACATACAAACACACCAACTCAGACTGCATATAATACGACACAAAGTAACTCACCTCCACCAAAAGGCGCCCATATAACTCTGCGGATGGTCTTCACCCAATCCTCCATGTCATTCTGGGTGCTTGCCATGAGGAGGTAGGTCTCATGATTGGCTGTCATCCGTTCTCGGTCTCCCCCTGTGCAGAAGACAGGATTACTGAGACGAGGCTTTGAAGAAGATTAAATGGCTGTGTATGCCTTCAAAAACACCAATGTTTGACACTTTCGTTTTCCGTTGGCGTGACTGCATAAGAATGCTTTGATTCTGCTTATCCCATCGTGCTCTCCTATGAGATACACACATATAGTGAGAGGGAAGCTTGGATTCAGCCATTCGTATTAAAAAGTTTTTGGGTTAAGGGCTTTGCTCAAAGATCCAACAGATACTAAAACATGTCTCAAACTGATGATGCACTGAAACAAGACAAAAAAAACAAAGAATAAAAGCCTTCTGTTAGATAGGTGGCAGTTTTTTTTTTCACAACGCATTTGCACACAGCAAACATTTTCATGTAATCTACACCTCGCTGTCATGAAGTATTTTTGTAATCAGTGATTAAATGGTTGGACCAAAACTATAATTCACTCCAGGGTCTATGCCAGTCGAGGCACAGATAATGCTGAGTTTCAAAAACGTTTTTTAAACAGCCTAACCATTACAAATCGTTTCATATACAGTATGAAGGCATTCTTTCTGTTCTGGCATGCAGCTTTAACAGTTGACACAAATAAAACCTGAGTAAGCTGTAAATAATTTGCACTATATGTTGGGGGGATGATGTAGACCTTTTACCAAGTAACCTCACTAGTTACTATATTTAACATTCATAGTGACTTTATATTAAGTATACATGATACTACTACAGTATACACATGTAGAGACAATTTTTATATACAGTTTAGTTGTTTAGTAGTAGTACTACTAATGTCTAAATGGTGACTATTAAGTCTTTGTGTCTGTGATTGTGGCGGTCGCCATTTCGGGTCTTGGCAGGATAATCACGTGTGTGGCCCTTGAGCAAGGCCCTTAACCCCCAGCTCCATGGATGCTGCATGCCGTCTGAGCCTGTGCTGTAACCTCCCCCCCCCCCCAAGCTAACTCTCACCTGTATGTCTGCCTGTGTCCCAAGGAGAGCATGTGGCAGCAGGTGGAAAGAGAGTTTCCCCCCAAACATTAATACAGTAACACTAATCGAATGAAGCCGCTGAGTGTATTTGAAATTTGCTTTTCTATTTCTTCTACACTATGAAGCACAGCATAATGCTTACTGCATTCGGGTAGAACTACTCATATTTATGATACATAACACAAACCTCCAGTTCAGATTGGGAATATGATCGTAATTATGATCTTGGATTATGAATCCAAGTCCTTAGTTACCAAACAGAGACAGAGTTAAAGTCACCTGCACCTCCTGTTCTAATCTATTATGTGTGTGTGTGTGTATATATATATATATATATATATATATACACACACACACACACAGATTGTGATGAAATAGTGTGCAAGATAGTGTAGGGTAAAATACACATCTAAATAAAGTAAAAATAAGCAGTAATTTCCATACATGCATCAATCTTACAAGTGCTTATTCTAAGGAGGTTTGCCTGCTTAAATAAAGGAACTATGTATATGGGACAATACCTCTTTAAAAAGTGTATATGAACCACATAAAGACCATGTGACCTTTATCTGAGCAAAATTTACCCTCTGGAGACACAAATAAGTAGATAAAAAAAGTGAATATTAAAATAATCCACACACATCTTTAATTTAGACAATAGCTGTTTTTCTTTAAAAGATTTTACATTCCCTCTGTCACTGAACATTATAAGTTTGCTGTCAGCAAATGCTTATTAGAGTCTCTTTCATTAGCTTGGCTGTCTGGGGGGGCGGGGGGGGGGGGGTAGCCTGGCAACAGGGAAAAAGGTTCAGCAGTCTAGACAGCAATTTAACTGCATGCCCCCTGATCAGAGTCATTTCTGCGGCCCAAGAGAAGCACAGTGCTTATCATTTCCCACCAATGCTGAGTCAAGAGACTGGGGCTTTTAGTTAATAAAGAGAATCCTATTTATTTAACTCAACAATATATTAAGCCTGAGGAGTACAGCCCCACATTAACCCAACAGCTACCGTTTCCTTTTAATCTCAAAATTGCCACTACACAATTCCCTACATTTATCACTCTTACGTATTAAGTGAGATAATAATAATAATAATAATATTGATAATAATAACAGAAATAATAGTAATGGACGAAGGTGCATGGGAATTGTTACATTCCTGCACATTAACGGGATGTTCTGCCATGGCTTGCTCTGAAATACACCCCACACCCTTGATCTCAGTCATGCCGTTTGAGAGACCATCCGGGGGTTCACACCTGTACAGTATGTCTGCACATCTGGTCAATTCTGACCACTGCTAAAATGACCAGGTCTGATATTTTTCTCATTAGTGTTTTGTCACCATTACAAAGACAACCTATTTGATCAAGGCACTTATCCAGAAACAAACCCATAAAAAGTCTTTAAAACGTCCAGAACCACTTAAAATTATTCTACTCTCATTTCTTAAACACCAGACGGATACCAGATCTGTTCAGGATTATTTTGAGTACGTAACAAATTTCAACTCTTACAGATAAGCCTCGTGTCAACTATAATTTTATCGTATGGGATGACACAATGAAAATATTTTGATAATAATAACTGGGAAAATGCTTCAAAGCGCATATAGGCGGTGACCATTGAAATGCTATCTCAATTTATGGCACTTGGCTTAATTCAGCAGGTGCCCTTGCAATACTGACATTTTAACGTGATGCCGCAGAGCGCTAAAAGTACGGGATATAACGTGAAAACGGACGTTGTATAAATACTTCATGGTATAACTCATCGGAAATGTTGTTAAAAATGCTATATTTCTACTACCCTCATACAGTTTTTAAAGCAATATTACTAAACTGCACCATATCATTCACTTTGTGCATATTACTATAACATACATAGGCTATACAATACAATTAGGTCATTTAAATGCCTGTAACGGTGCATCTGAAGCATAAACATCAATATACATAGTTAAGTAGGCCTACATCATGCAAGTTCTCAAAAAAGAGTTATAATACATTATTTCTTTTTGTATTTTATTCTAATGCGAACTCATCGTATTAACATTTAACACTAATAACATTTCTTATGTTTCAGCTTGTTTTTTCACCCTTACAAAATTAGATAAAACTGTATAAGTGCAAATACGAAACACCAGAACATTTCTTTAGGTTTGACCTCAAATACGACGCCTCTGTTAAAATAGCCTACTGAGAATCACTTGGACCAAAAACGCCATTACTCATTTTTATGTACAGTAAACCTTTGCAGATCACCTTTTTCTCCAAGCTAAAAGATAAGGAAAAGTAAATGCACGCAAGAGCGAAGTGCAAGTGATGCACCTACTGACCCTTCCTGAAGCAGTGAATACGTCACGTGAGATGTGCTGCCAAAGTAAATCCGTAATAGCGCATCATATCCCCACTTACCACGCAAAGACACTCACACGCCGCAAACAGCGCGCTTTATACACTGCTTAAGTTATTCACAGGCGAGCGTTAGACAATAGTGTTAATGCTGTAGCCCCTCCCATTTGGAGAGGGAGAGAGAGAGAGAGAGAGAGAGAGAGAGAGATTTGCCAGCTACGTGCAACATTTGCTGTCAAGCTTAATTTTACGGTCAGACACTAAACTCTGGAAATACAGATCTGAATGTGTCAAATTCATCATAAGGAATCTGCCTCGATTCAGCAGTTTTTATTTATTATTTGAACTTTTTTTTCACTATCAACAACGACACATGTCTTTCACATTCCTGACCCAAAGTGCTCTCACACGTCCACGGTAAAAAATCTTTTTAAAACCTAAAACCTTTAACTGATTTATTAACACGTGAAAACGGGGAGCTGTACCACGTGGGGTCTCAGTGGGTAATTTTTGTGGACTGTAGCACAGGACTTGTGAATCAAATGCTCAGCATAACTGGTAAACCGTTGCAGGTTTTACTGGATAGTCGGGGCATTACTCATTATGTATCTCTCCAGTTACCTCCCAATTGAAGCTCTTGTTTTTAAAATGCAACCTCCACACACACAACGAGATATGGGTGGGACTGAAGCAGTCAGCACCAGAGGTGAGAGGCTACAGTGCCACACGCAAAGACGCTGTTTATTTCAAATATCCTTGCGTTGATATATATGTCTGAGCAAGACTGAGATAACTGCACTAGCTTTACTTAAAAAAGAGCAAAACATTATGCCTAATAATGCGATTTGCAGAAGAGAGAAGCTTTCTTCATTGAAATAGATTTTCCTTCCTCTGCGTCAAGGGCACTCGATACAGCCGATTACATTCCACAGATGAGTCAAGGCAACCTGGACACGCAGTTCATAGCTATTTCTGGCAGCAATAGCAGATCACTATGATAGGGCTGACTGTGATCATCCTGCAAAGAAATGTCAGCCGGCAAATATACACATCCGATGTTGGAGTAGTGTTTGTATCAAATCTATATATTTAATAACTGCATCCCATCAGAGGCATGTCTGGGAGATTTTGTGAACAACTCTGGTAATTGTTGCAACCAGGCAAGATTCGACAGGAAAGTTTGAAACAGATACCTGGATTTTATGTTTCCATTTTAAATGATAAGAAAAGCATATAGGTGGGATGCTAGTCGAACTATATTTTTACTCCTCTTTTGAAATTTTTTTTGTTGAAAAAGTTTGTTAAAAATATATGTGTCTATATGAATTAAATGAATCTTCCATATCACTTCCCCTATACAGGTCACCTGGGGCCTTGAACCTATCTTGGAAACAATGGGCATAAGGCAAGTAGTAAGCCAGCATGGGGTATCGACCCATCACGGGGCACGCACCAGTCACACCAACGGACAATTTGGCAAGCATGCTTTTGGACTTGGGAGGTGGGGGGCGTGGGGGGCACGGGCAAAGAACCCAGAGGAGAGCCCATGACAGCGCAGGGAGAACATGGGAGCCCCCCCCACACAGACCTGTGGAATCAAACCCTGGTCTCTAGGCATGTGAGGTTTAACCACTGCGCCCCCATGGAACCCCTTA